AGACACAAAGATAGACAGAAAAATCCCAGACATAGATACATAAACAGACAGACAGACAGACAGACAGACACACCCCTGGATCACCTTAATCATCACTTACCTGGCTCTTAATAACCGGCATCTCACCTTAACCGGCTAGATAATCCGGCAATATACCATGAGACTCCACCTTTAATGTTGCCGATTTTCCCTCATATCCGACACGTTGGTTAGGTGAGGTGAGGTTAGGTTAGGTTAGGTTAGGTTAGGTTAGGTGAGGTGAGGTGAGGTGAGGTTAGGTTAGATGAGGTGAGGTGAGGTGAGGTTAGATGAGGTGAGGTGAGGTGAGGTTAGATGAGGTGAGGTGAGGTGAGGTTAGGTGAGGTGAGGTGAGGTGAGGTGAGGTTAGGTGAGGTGAGGTGAGGTTACATTAATTTGGTCCTGGACGCCTCACCTTGCTCACACCTCTTTGTTATACTACAGCTGAACGATATCAAGTGACTTGTTTTTAGTAATGAACGACGTGTGTGTGTGTGAATATTGTTGTATAGATGTAGATTTGTCCATAGAATTAGCATAATGAAATATCCTTTGCTTACTGATGAGAGAGAGAGAGAGAGAGAGAGAGAGAGAGAGAGATTTAAGCTTTACAATAGACACATATACAATTACACAACTCCCTCGACACCAATACGACACAATAAAATAGCCTGTTGGGGAGACCGGTTTATGGTGTGACCCAGTGAGAGAGATATATATATAGACAGACACAGACAGAGGACACACACAGACAGAGGGACTTTACAGACAGAGGGACACGCAGACAGGGGACCTCACAGTGCCTAGCGACGTACCCAGCTCTGGCACAGCCTCCCAGGAGCAGTTCATGAGGGGGTGTCTGCAGCTGACTAATGTCGTTAGCCATGAATGGAAGGGCAGTTCACGATTGGCCAGTCACGCGAGATAGAAGGACTGGTGGGTGTTGATTGGCCAGTCACACAGGCAGGGGGGGAGGGAGAAAGGGAGAGAATGATTGAGGGAAGTGGAAGAGGTGAGGGGCGGAGAATGGAAGGTAGAATGGAATGGGGAGGAAGGGGGTAGAATGTGTTGGGAAGAGAAGTGAAGATAGAAGAGGGAAGGAGAGTGGGAGGGAAAGAACCAGGGAGGAAGGAAGGGAAAATTGGGTTGGGAAGAGAGGAAGAAAAAATGAGAAGGTTGATAAAGATAAAGAAAGGGAGAAAGGAGAGAAGAATAAAGAATGGGCGACAGAGGAAGGGAAAGAGACTCGGAATGGGAGGTGTGGTGGAGAGGTAGGGAGGCGAGTAGTAGGCAAGCAGGAAGGGGGATGGGTGCAGGAGGAGGAAGGAGATCACAAAGAAGGAGGAAAAGGCGAGAAGGAAGGAAAAGGAAAGAGGAGGAGGAAGGAAGGAAGGAAGGAAGGAAAGGAAGGTAGGATGGTGGGAGGGAGGGAAGGAGATGGGAAGGAAGGAAGAGGGGATGGTGGGAGGGAGGGAGGGAGATGGGAGGAAGAAGGAAGGAAGGAAGGAAGGGGATGGTGGGAGGGAGGGAAGGAGATAGAGGAAGGCAGGAAGAAGGAAGAGGATGGTGGGAGGAAGGAGATACAGGAAAAGGAAGAAGAAGGAAGGAAGGAAGAAAGGGATGGTGGGAGGAGGGAAGGGGAGATGGGAAAGAAGGAGGAAGAAGGAAGGAAGAAGGAAGGGATGGTGGGAGAGGGAGGGAAGGAGATGGGAAAGAAGGAGAAGGAAGGAAGGAAGGAAGGAAGAGGATGGTGGGAGGGAGGGAAGGAGATGGAAAGAGGAGGAAGGAAGGGGATGGTGGGAGGGAGGAAGGTCTCAGGAAAGAAGGAGGGAAGGAAGGAAGGAAGGAAGAAGGGAGAGGAGGAGAAGGAAGGAAGGTGGGATGGAAGGAGAGGAGATGGAAGAAAGGAGGAAGGAAGGAAGGAAGGAAGAAAAGGAAGAGGAGGAGAGGAGGAAGAAGGAAGAAGGTGGAAGGAAGGATGGGCCGAGAGGAGGAAGAGGAGGAAGGAAGGAAGGAAGGAAAGAAGGAAGGGAGGGAGGGAGGAAGGAAGGAAGGAAGGAAGGAAGGAAGGAAGGAAGGAAGGATAGGGGAGAGTAGGTAGGCACACATCTGGCGTCCACAGTTGGGTAAGAATTTACATATGTTCCGTCACACAAGCACACGAATACCAAGTGTCTCGCTGACTTCAAACTGTGGCCGAGCTTGTCTGTTAAACCAAGGTGTGGGGTTTAATTAACTGTGGCCGGGCCTGTCTGTTAAACCAAGGTGTGGGGTTTAATTAACTGTGGCCGGGCCTGTCTGTTAAACCAAGGTGTGGGGTTTAATTAACTGTGGCCGGGCCTGTCTGTTAAACCAAGGTGTGGGGTTTAATTAACTGTGTGGCCGGGCCTGTCTGTTAAACCAAGGTGTGAGGTTTTAATTAACTGTGGCCGAGGCCTGTCTGTTAAACCAAGGTGTGGGGTTTAATTAACTGTGGCCGGGCCTGTCTCTGTTAAACCAAGGTGTGGGAGTTTAATTAGCTTTGTGGCCGGGCCTGTCTGTTAAACCAAGGTGTGGGGTTTAATTAACTGTGGCCGGGCCTGTCTGTTAAACCAAGGTGTGGGGTTTAATTAACTGTGGCCGGGCCTGTCTGTTAAACCAAGGTGTGGGGTTTAATTAACTGATGGCCGGGCCTGTCTGTTAAACCAAGGTGTGGGGTTTAATTAACTGATGGCCGGGCCTGTTTGTTAAACCAAGACGTTGGTTTAATTAACTAGGATCTATCAGAGGCTATTAAAACCAGGTGTTGATGTAATTAAGTTCAAAAGATAATTCTCAAGGCTGTATTCAAAGGCGTTTAACCTGATTGTAATTATAACTTCACCTGAGTTTTTAATTACTGTATGAACACGACAGATATAACCTAACCTAACCTAACCATAACCTAACCTGACGATAACCATAACCAAACCTAACCATAAACTAACCATAACCTAACCTAACCATAACCTAACCTAACCATTACCTAACCATAACCTAACCTAACCATAACCTAACCATAACCTAACCTAAAGGTGATCAATACTAACTCAGCAATTACACACACAGACACACACACACAGACACACACACACACACACACACACACACACACACACACACACACACACACACACATGAAAAAAGTGTATTTGCTGTAATTCCTTGTTTTGTGGGGGAGGAGGAAGAGGTGGAAGAGGTGGAAGAGGAGTAGGAAGAGGAGAAGAGTGTGTGATAGCTCAATGGTAAAGCGGAAATGCGATTGAGAGAGAAGAGGGGGAATGAGAGTGAGAGAGAGGGGGAGAGAGAGAGAGAGAGAGTGAGTTGATAGTTGTGTAGTGTAGGTCTCTCTTTCTCTCTCTCTCTCTCTTTCTCTCTCTCTCTCTCTTCACTACAGCTACATAATCATCACTACACACAAGTTACTACATAATACATAGAAAATTACAGAAACTCTTTATGTAATTCTGACTGAAAAAAAAGAAACCCCCAGGTGCTTGTGATTATGCCCAGGTAAGAAATGAGGCTAATTAAACCCGAATGGAAGGTGTAATAATGCTTGGGTATTAATTGTCCACTTAATTATACCACCAATTATGCTTTTAACTTGTTGGTTTAAATAAAGAGTTTAATGATAGTGGATGATATTATAGGAAGTTAATGGAAGTATAATTTAATGGTAGTTTGAGTATTATAAATGAGAGAGAGAGAGAGAGAGAGAGAGAGAGAGGTGTAATCTTATTTATCTCTCTCTCTCTCTCACACACACACTGGGGAGGGGGGGAGAACAATGCTAACACGTCCACAAAGTTACCTGGACTGCATTACTTAATTAATTAACAGGTGTTGTAGACGTGACCCACCTACACCTGAGTGTGCGAGTTAGTGCCTCCTCCTCCTCCTCTTGTACCTCTTCCTCTTTCTCTCTTTCCTCTCCTTCTCCTCTTCCTCTCTTCCTCCTCCTCCTTCTCTTCCTGTAATCCTCCTCTCCCTGTTCTTCTTCCCTCTCACCCTCCTCTCCCTGTTTCTCTTCCCTCTCATCCTCCTCCTCCTCTACCTCTCCCCTCCTCTCCTCCTCCTCTTTCTGTATCTCTTCCTTCTCCTCTTCCTCGACCTTCAGTAATCCTTTAAGTCTCCCTCTTACCCTCCCTCCCCACCCTCCCTCCCTCCCCTCTTACCTTCCCTCCCCCTCCCTCTTACCCTCCCCTCCCTCCCCTCTTCCCTCCCTCCCTACCCCTTCCCTCCCCTCCCTCTTACCCTCTCCCCTCCCCTCTTACCCTCCCTCCCTCCCCTCTTACCTCCTCCCTCCCCTCTCCCTCTTCCCCCTCCCCTCTTACCCTCCCTCCCTCCCTCTTACCCTCCTCCCTCCTCTTACCTCCCTCCCTCCCTCTTACCCTCCCTCCCTCCCCTCCCCTCCCTCCCTCCCTCTTACCCTCCCTCCCTCCCCTCTTACCCTCCCTCCCCTCCCCTCCCTCCTCCCCCTCTTACCCTCCCCTCCCCCTCTTACCCTCCCTCCCCTCCCTCCCCTCTTGCCCTCCCTCCCCCCCCTCTTACCCTCCTCCTCCCCCTCTTACCCTCCCCGCCCCTCTTACCCTCCCTCCCTCCCCTGACAAACAAATATATAAATGAGCTCTTTAATATCCCCGCAGGTAAGCCCTCATTACTAACCGCCAGGTGTATGGACGAAATTGTATCGGATGAAAATTGCATCGGACGAAAGATCTATCGGACGAAAACTGTATTTGACGAAATTGTATTGGACGAAATTATATCGGACGAAATCATATCGGACGAAAATTGCATCAAATTATATCGGACGAAAACTGTATCGGACGAAAATTCTATCGGACGAAAAGTCTATCAGACGAAAATTTCATCGGACGAAAATTCTATCGGACGAAATTTTAACTAGGACTCCAACCTCTCCTAACTTAAACTGACCTTGCTCTCCTTCTCTCCTACAGGATCCCCATTGGAGTTCAGGATTACGGCAGGAAATGAGGCAGGACTCTTTTCTTTGGTTCCTGCCAGTGGTCGTCTTCACCTCCTACGACCACTGGACTACGAGAAACAACAGCGAGTGAGTTGGTCTCTGTTGATGTGGTACAAGCATAGGCACAGGTGTAGGATAGGCACAGGTAAAGACAGGTATAATTACAGGTGTACAAGTAGTGACCTGCTAACCTCCCTCCCTCCCTCCCTCCCTCCCTGCCTGCCTGCCTACCTACCTACCTACCTACCTGCCTGCGTACCTGAGCGTCCCATACAATATTCACACCACCGCCAGAAGTCAGGTTATTTCTCAGCCCACCAACACCAAACTCTTTCAAAACATCGTCTGTGGAATTCTCTCCCTCGTAAGAGACGTGAGAACCTCCTACCATTTGACTAGTGAAATAAAAGACAAAAATAGTAAAACAAAAACGAATATATTCAACAAAACAAAAATATTAAACAAAAAAATATTAAACAAAAACGTAAAATTAAAACAAAAACAAAAATATTAAAACAAAAGCAAAAATATTAAACAAAAACAAAAATATTAAACAAAAACTATAAAAGAAAAAATAAACAAAAACGTAAAATATTAAAACAAAAACAAATATATTCAAACAAAGAGGAAAAAAATTATTAAGGGAAAAAATCTTTACATAGTTCTTGGATGTTGATGACGTCATGGGAGGTAAAAGGGAATTGTTTGTTTATGTAAAATTTTATGTATGAATTTTGTTTTTTTGTTTTTGTCTGTTTACTTAAGGATATTAAATAAGAATAAACTAAACTAGGGAAAATTAAAAACTAGGAAAAATTAAAAAAATACTCGGGAAAAACTAAAAAATACTAAAGAAAAACTAAAAAAATACTAAAGAAAAACTAAAAAAATACTAAGGAAAAAAACAAAACCAGGGAAAAAACAGGGAAAACTAAGGAAAAAACTTAAAATCACCATGAAAACACAAAAAACTTCCATCTAGTCCCGGTTTAGAATGGAAGATTGGCCGCGTACGTTCACTACATGACAGTATTAGAAAATTAAACCCGATTCCCTGGTAGGTTTTTCTCCCTTGTTTTATCACGCTCATATACACTCGCTTGTACCTGTGTTAAATTAAAACATATATTGGGTGTTTTATTGCGGTGACATACACTCGCGTATTTCTGTTTTAGAGAGAGAGAGAGAGAGAGAGAGAGAGAGAGAGAGAGAAAGAGAGAGGGAGTACGAGAAATGGGGAAAAATAGAACAAACAGACATAGAGAGAAAGAATGATAAAGAAAGAAGAGAGAGAAAAAGAGAGAGAATGAAAAAGAAAGAAACAGACAGACACAGACAGACAGACAGACAGACAGAGCAATACCATCACTGTCTACCCGTATCATATAACTATTGAGATACCTTACAAAACACCTGTCCCACACACCTGTGATATCCGCGTTCATTTTACCTCGTCGACAATAATCAGAATCCAATTACCTGTTGAATATCACAGGTACAGGTGAGTGATGAGTTACCGGAGTCATGTGGGATGGATATAGTGAGTTTGAGGTGGATATAGTGAGTTTGAGGTGGATATAGTGAGTTTGAGGTGGATATAGTGGGTTTGAGGTGGATATAGTGAGTTTGAGGTGGATATAGTGAGTTTGAGGTGGATATAGTGAGTTTGAGGTGGATATAGTGAGTTTGAGGTGGATATAGTGAGTTTGAAGTGGATATAGTGGGTTTGAGGTGGATATAGTGGGTTTGAGGTGGATATAGTGAGTTTGAGGTGGATATAGTGGGTTTGAGGTGGATATAGTGAGTTTGAGATGGATATAGTGGGTTTGAGGTGGATATAGTGAGTTTGAGATGGATATAGTGAGTCTGAGGTGGATATAGTGAGTTTGAGATGGATATAGTGAGTTTGAGGTGGATATAGTGAGTTTGAGGTGGATATAGTGGGTTTGAGGTGGATATAGTGAGTTTGAGGTGGATATAGTGAGTTTGAGATGGATATAGTGAGTTTGAGATGGATATTGATGAGTATTGGATAAATTTGGTATACTGAGAGGGATATGAATACATACATACATACATACATACATTACATACATACATTACATACATACATACATACATACATTACATACATACATTACATACATACATACATACATACACCAGACAGACAGAGACACGTACAGAGAGACACATCAAATCAAACTTTCATTACCCAAGTTATAATGTGCACCTCTCTCTCTCTCTCTCTCTCTCAAGCTGGGTGTCATGCTGGCTTAGTGTTATGCTGAGTGATAATTGGAGGGGGATACCGTGTTGTGTTGTGTGTGTGTGTGTGTGTGTGTGTGTGTGTGTGTGTGTGTGTGGTGTGTGTGTTGTGTGTGTGTTGTTGTTGTGTGTGTGTGTGTTGTTGTTGTGTGTGTGTGGTGGTGTGTGTTGTGGTTGTGTGTGTGTGTGTGTGTGTGTAATAAAAACCCAGGAATTAAATGTTTAAGTGTTTGTGTTGATCTCTCTCTCTACAGACAGACAGACAGACAGACAGGCCCAAACAAACAGACCTACAGACAGACAGAACAGGTTCAAACAAACAGACAGACAGACAGACAGAACAGAGCCTACAGACAGACAGGTTCAAACAAACAAACAGACAGACAGACAGACAGACTGACAGGCCCAAACAAACAGACCTACAGACAGAGAGAGACAGACCCAAGCTATATTACTGTAATCCTTGAGGCCTTACTGGGAGCTGTGGACCTTGTCGACAGTGTCTTGAGTGAGGGAGTGAAGGAGGGAGGAAGGGAGAAGTGAAGGAGGGAGGGAGTAGAAGGAGGGGGAGGGGAAGAAGGAGTGAGGGAGGGAGGGAAGGAGGAAGGAGGGGTAGAAGGGGGGTGGGAGGGAGGAAGGAGTGAGGGAGGGGGAAGGAGGGGGTAGAAGGAGGGAGAGGGGGAGAAGGAGGGAGGGAAGGAGGAGGGAGGGAGGGAAGGAGGGGGGGGAGAGAAGGAGGGAGGGGGGGAAGGAGGAGGGAGGAGGAGGGAGGAAGGAGGAGGGGGAGGAGTGAAGGAGGGAAGGAGAAGGGGTGAGGGAGGGTAGAAGAAGGAGGAGGAGGGAGGGGGAAGGGGAGGGGGGAAGAAGGAGGGAGGAAGGAGTGAGGAGGGAAGGAGGAGGGAAGGGGGAGAAGGAGGAGGGAAGGAGTGAGGAGGAAGGAGTGAGGGGGAGTGAAGGAGGAGGAGGGAAGGAGGTGAGGGGGGGAGTGGAAGGAGGGAGGGAAGGAGTGGGGAAGGGTGGAGGAAGGAGGGAGGAAGGTGAGGGGGGTGGAAGGAGGAGGAAGGGTGAGGAAGGAGTGAAGGAGGGAAGGAGTGAGGGAGGGAGTGAAGGAGGAGGAGGAGGATGGAGGAAGGAGGAAGGGGAGGGGGAGTGAAGGAGGGAGGGGGGGGAAGGAGGAGGGGAGAAGTGAGGGAAGGGTGAAGGAGGGAGAGGAGTGAGGAGAGGGGGAGGGAGGGAAGGGTGGGGGGTGAAGGAGGAGGGAAGGAGTGGGGGAGGGTGAGGAGGGAGGAGGAGGAGTGAGGGGAGTGAAGGAGGAGGGAGGGGAAAGGAGGGAGGGAAGGAGTGGGGAGGGGGAGGAAGGGGAGGGGGGGAGGAGGGAGGAAGGAGTGAGGGAGGGGAGGAGGGGAGGGGAGGAGGGAGGGAGGAGTGAGGGGGAGGGAAGGAGGGAGGAAGGGAGAAGGAGGAGGGAGGGAGGGGGAAGGAGGAGGAAGGAGTGGGGGGAGTGGAGAGGAGGGAAGGAGTGAGGGAGAGGGTGAGGGAGGAGGAGGAAGAGGGAGGAGAGAGAGAAGGAGGGAGGAAGGTGAGGGAGGGAGTGAAGGAGGAGGAAGAGTGAGGGATGGGTGAAGGAGGGAGGGAAGGAGTGAGGGGGGAAGGAGGAGGGGAAGGGGAGGGAAAGGAGGAGGGGGGGTAGTGAGGAGGGAGGAAGGATGAGGGAGGGGAAGGAGGGAGGGAGAGGGAGGGATGGAGTGAAGGAGGAGGGAAGGAGTGAGGGAGGGTGAAGGAGGGAGGAAGGAGTGAGGGGAAGGAGGAGGGAAGGGAGGGGGGAGGAGGGGGAGAAGGAGGAAGGAGTGGGGAGGGAGGGAAGGAGGAGGAAGGGGGAGGGGAGGAGAAGGGAGGAGAAAGGAGTGAGGAGGGAGGGAAGGAGGGAGGAAGGGGAGGGAGGAATAGAGGAGGAGGAGGAGAGGAGGGGGGTGAAGGAGGAGGGAAGGAGTGAGGAGGGAAAGGAGGAAGGGAAGGGTGAGGGAGGGAGAGGAGGGAGGGGGAAGGAGGAGTGAGGGAGGGAGTGAAGGAGGGAGAGGGAGAGGGGAGGAAGGAGAGGGAGAAGAGGGGGAGGAAGGAGGAGGGAAGGAGGGAGGGAGAAGGAGGAGGGAAGAGGGAGGGGGTGAAGGAGGAGGGAAGGAGTGAGGGAGAGGGAAGAAGGAGGAGGGAGGGAGGAGGGGGGAAGGAGGGAGGGAAGGGGGTGAGGGAGAGGGGGATAGAAGGAGGGAGGGAAGAGGGGAGGGAGGAGTGAAGGGGAGGGAGGGAAGGAAGGGTGAGGGGAGGAGAGGAGGGAGGAGGGGAGGGGGGAGGGAGGGAGGAGGGAAGGAGGAGAGGGAAGAAGGAGGGAGGAAGGAGTGAGGGAGAGGGAGAGGGGAGGGAGGGAAGGAGTGGGGAGAGGGAGTGAAGGAGGAGGGGAAGGAGTGAGGGGGGATAGAAGGAGGGAGGGGAAGGAGGGAGGTGAAGGGAGGGAAGGGAAGGGGGGAAGTGAAGGAGGGAGGGAGAAGGAGGAGGGAGGGATAGAAGGAGGGAGGGAAGGGGAGGGAGGGGGGAGTCAAGGAGGGAGGAGGAAGGAGTGAGGGAGGGATAGAAGGAGGAGAGAGGAAGAAGTGAGGGAGAGGAAGAAGGGAATGAGAGGAATGGAGGAGAAGGAAGGAAACAAGTAAGGAGGGAGAGAAGTAAGGAAGGAAGGAAGGAAGGAGACAAGGATCTGTTAGAGCAGCTTACATCGTTAAGGTGTATCTTACCTCACTAATGGTCGATTTAGCTTTACGCTGTGTGGTTAGGTTAGGTTAGGTTAGGGTAGGGTAGGATAGGATAGGGTAGGATAGGATAGGTTAGGTTAGGTTAGGGTGGAGAGGATAGGTTAAGAAGGAGGAGGAGAGGGAGAGAGGGAAGGAGAGAATCAAGAAGGAAATGTGAAGGAAGAGACAAATGCCAAAGAGAAAGAAGAAACTTTAGCCAAGACAGATTGAAATTGTTATGGTAAACTTGCCTCGACGGTGAAGCAACTAACTTCACTATGTAATTAAGATTGAAGCAACTATGGGAGGATAAGTTTGAGACCTAACTAGGGGGGTGGGGGAGGAAGAGGAAGGTGGGGGGCTTAAATAGGGGTGGGGAGGGTAGAAGGGAGGAAGTAAAGAAATTTTGTTAAGAATGGGGGGACGTTGATTGGTCGTATGGTACTAGTGACGTCATTGTTTGTTTTCCTTTTAGGTGTGTTGTGATTGGTTGTTTTTTCGTGTGATGTCATTGTTGTCTCTTATTGGAGTGTTTTGATTGGTGTTGTTGTATAGGTGTTGTGTCACTGGACAAAATCCTCACCATACAAAATCCTATTGAACCAAATTCTACACTGGAAAATTATTTTTAATTGGACGAATTACCAATTGAACAAAATCCCTTCCACGTTATAAATAATATATTATACTTAAGGTTAGTTCAGGTCAGGTCAGGTTAAGTTAGGTTAGGTTATGTCAGGTCAGGTCAGGTCAGGTTAGGTCAGGTTAGGTCAGGTCAGGTCAGGTCAGGTTAAGTTAGGTTAGGTTATGTCAGGTCAGGTTAGGTCAGGTCAGATTAGGTTAGGTTAATTTTTTTGTTCAATATTCAGTAATAATCTCTCTCTCTCTCTCTCTCTCTCTCTCTCTCTCCTCTCCACAGCACGAGTTGGTGGTAGAGGCGAGGTCTGGGAGGAGGAGTCAGGCCAGGGTCGTTGTGGAGGTAGTGAGAATGACCACCTCCCCACCTTCCCCACCAGCCTCCACGAGACCCAGATCACCGAGGACGACGACCGACACCTCCCCAAGGTCTTACTGACGGTACGTGTCTTCCCCAAGCCTTAAAGTGTCTTCCCCAAGCCTTAAAGTGTTTTCCCAAGCCTTAAAGTGTCTCCAACCCTTAAAGTGTCTTCCCCAAGCCTTAAAATTCTTCCCCAAGCCTTAAAGTGTCTTCCCCAAGCCTTAAAGTGTCTTCCCCAACCCTTAAAGTGTCTTCCCCAAGCCTTAAAGTGTCTTCCCCAAGCCTTAAGTGTCTTCCCCAAACCTTAAAGTGTAAAGAGTGATGAAATATATCAACCCATAAATATATTTCACGATATTTTATTATTTTTTTAAGTTAAACAAATACACAAACATTTCCCTCCAGGTGACTTGTATATTTCATTTTTTTATCTATATTTTCACCTAAACTTGACAAATATCTCTATTTATGAGATTATAAGCTGAAAATACCACATATATTTCAAGAATTTTTAACCTAGATGAAAAATAAACCAAAAAATATCCTTCCTCTGTCTGTCTGATATATACAGCATATACATTTTTTTTTAACAGAACTTAACCACGAATAATATCACAGTTCATGAATATTTGGGGTTAAATTTGCAGATATATTTCAAGGATATTTTTGTGGTAAAAAAAGTTGCTTCACACCATCCACCTCACCAGTGTCTTGAGCTAAGGGGCACATGTGGTGTAAATTAATAGGAGAGGGTTGGTGTTAGACCCTTCCCTTCCCTTCCCCCTCCTCTCCCCTTCCCTCCCTTCCCTTCCCTACTAGAGTGGTGGTGAAGGAGGGGGAAGGAAAGAGAGAGGGAGAATGAGAGGGGGTGATAATAAGGGTGAGAGACGGAGAGAAAGAGGTAGAGGAGGATAAGAGAGGAGATTGTCTTCTACCACGACCCCCGCCCCCCGCGCCCCCACGCCCCCCGCCTATTCACCACCATAAAGACGCTCCCGGATGCAAGACCTTCCCAAAGATGTAAATAATTATGACTCGTCTGAAGAAGTTTGGGGAATTAGTGGTGACAGCCTGACAGACAGACATACTCACACACACACATACATACATCATAACTACATACATACATACATACATACATACATACATAGACAGATGTGGTTTAATACAATTTACTGTAATGTTTAAGTGTTACCCTTTATATATAATATAATGTATATATTTTATTTATTTATGTCCTTCCTTCCTTCCTTCCTTCCTTCCTCTCTACTTCCCCCTCCTTCTCTCCCTTCTATACCCATCCCTCTTCTTTCTCTCTCCCTCCCACCTTCCCTCCTCAACAGGTGTCAGCCAAGGACGGTGATGGTGGACGGTACGACTAACGTACTCCATGACAGGCGATGGTGTCTATCCCTCCTCCTCCTCCTCCTCCTCTTTCTCCATCGACTCCTCCACGGGCGTCATCCACCTCCTTAAGGTAAGTCTCAGGTGGATGAGTGAGTGAGGTATTTATGTAAACATTTGTGAGCTGGTGTATACATATGTGCGTTTTTGTGTGTATACATCTATTCATATGTGCATCTGTCCTTGTTTTTATGCCTATGAATCAACCCGTGTGTGTGTGTGTGTGTGCGTGTGTGTGCGTGTGTGTGTGTGTGTGTGTTTATCGGTATATTTAAGTCGAACTCTTAGTAAGGGTTTAGGCGCCTCTCTTTCTTTCTTTTCTTTTTCTTTCTTTCTTTCAGTGATCCTATTTCTCATTCGCATACAACGATTTTCTCCCCCTCTCTCTCTCTCTCTCTCTCTCTCTCTCTCTCTCCCCTCTCCCCCCTCTCCCCTCCTTAATACCTCCTCCCCCTCCCTCCCCTCCCAGGACTGCAAAACCCTCCAACTCTCCCTTAAGCAGGTATCATTAGGGAGGCCCTCAAGAGGTAAGGGCGGCTCCCTCCAGTGGTTCATTACACGGACGCACAGATCAGACACGGGTACACACTCAACCTCCTCATCCCTCTGGTGGCTGTGTGGGTTCTATTTTTGGGGTTCTACAGTGGGTTTCTAGTTCTACGGTGGGTCTATTTGGGTTTTGTGGTTTTATTTGGGTCTCTTTGGGTTCTTAAGTGGTTTCTGTAGTTGTATGGTGTGGTTCTCCTGTAGTTCTCATTGGTTCTTCGGTTCTACCTGTAGTTCTCATTGGTTCTCTGACTCTCCTGTGGTCCTGTAGCCACGTTTATGTGGTTCTTTGATGGCTGTGGTTCTTATGTTCCTTTTCTGAATGGTTCTACAGACTTGTAGAGAAACATCTTAACTTTTTCCCCCCAATATCTCATAATTTTTCACCTTATTACCATAATTTTGAGGAATTTTCCCCTAATTTCCAACACTTTTACGAGAACTTAGATCAATGTTTCCAATTTTAGCCAAATTTACCTTCATTTTGGTTAATTTCGTAGCAATTATCCGTGAATTTGTTGTTTGTTCTCGTGTTTATGTTAGAGCGTTTCCTGTTTTCACTAAAATTGTTATTTAGGAACTTTTATTTATTTTTAACACGCAGGTATTACGTTGTTTAAAATTACAAGTTTAGTTGCGGCTAACAAGTACAAGTATAGGTGCAAGTACAGGTATAATTATAGGTACGAGTTTAGCTACAAAGACTAGTTCTGATATAAGTACAAGTATTAGTAGTGTGTGTACAGGTACTGGTATAAAATCAGGTGTATTAACTGGCAGGTATGTACAATTATAGGTACAAGTAATATAAGTACAGGTAATAGGAAGAAATACTAATTACAGACACAGGTAAATTTAGATATCCACCACCACTACTACTGATCACCTTTGTTAATTACCTACAACAACAGCCGCTAAACAGGGCCCTCCTCACGGGCGAGCTCGGTGGCGACTGGTGGTGACAGCTACTGACGGTGACCACGAAGCCTCCACTACCGTCCACGTTAATCTGAAGGACGTGAATGACAACGCCCCGTACTTCCCCCAGGCCACCGTCAACGCCACCATCCCGGAGGACACACCCTTGGGTCAGCCAGATTACCATTGTTTTAGTGATTTCTATAGTTACCCCTCTTATGTCTTTATCTAATTCCCGTTTTCAATGTATTTGTATAGAGTCCGTTTTCTATGATTATTTTTTCTCCTTTATTAATATCCATTTGAGTTTTCTTCATTTTCTACAAGTTTATCATATTTTCTTTTGTCTATATCTTCAAATTCTCTCGTTTCATCTTTAATCAGAATCACTCTATTTTTGCTGAAATATTTAATCAACTTTTTCTTCTTCAACCATTATTAAATTATTATTTTTTTTATTAATTTAGAAGAATTATACAGCTTCACACTGGTAACCTAACCTAACCGCTATTGTGTTGGAGCTATGGCTGGAACGTACAGTCAGACAGACAAACACTAAACCTCCCCACTTTTAATATGTCCACCCTAACTCGCTCAGGGATCCAACCAGCGCACAAAGTTGTCATTGTAGGTTATGTATATAAGCTACTGTGCCGAGTAGCAACCCTGTATATAAGCTACTGTGCCGAGTAGCATTATATATATTATCACGTGGCAACACTGCACGTTATGTGCCACCTTGAGGCTGCCATATGGCAAGGCAGCCTCAGTCTGATGTGAGCCGTGCATGGCACACGCGAGTCACCACTTGTATTTCTCTCATCCATAATAAACGGACTTCAGTGTTACACGGTGTTTCCTACCCATCACTGCATTCTTCAGGGACACTAGTAACCACCATGGCGCAGTGGCTAGGATCTGTGGACTTACAAAGTGTGTGAACTATGCTGAGACAATTACGTCTGCTGCCAGTGATCTGGCGTCGACTCATAGTGTGTTGTGTTGTGTTGCTGTGTTTCGCCCGTATGCAGGTGTTGCTCCGTCACAGTGCGTTTTAGTGACGGTGCAGTGTTAGTGTCAGTATATTAGTGTGTCTAGAGCTGAGAGTTGAGCATTGGCCTGTTTTTGTGGTACCCACACAGACGCATGAGCGTACACCCTTCTCGTGTGACATCCGGGAGACACTGACAGTCTCGCCCCCCCCTCGTCTCTAGCCACCGGCATTACAGGACACCACGAAGTGCATCTGCTCTCTCAGACACACACACACACACACACACACGCACACGCACGCCGCACGCACTCACTCACGGACAGAACAGTGGACTATATTTTTCTGCGCTGTTTATGTCATATATATGTGGTTCAGGCTGTTGAGGCGCCACTATATATTAAACAGTGCAGTCCAGCACACACCAAAGATGGGAGGTAGAAGGGACAACGTCAAGATGGGAGACCGACTCCCTTCCCACGACAGACTCTCACCCTCCACCTCCAGTGACGGACACCACAATTCTGAGGTGGATGGGCGTCAGGATGAGAGGCAGAGAGATGGAACTTCAGAGGAGGAGACACGAGAGGAGGAAAGCTGCGTTTTGAGGCACTATGGCGACCCTGGCTGCCCCACCCTCCCTCACTCACTGGTGGCGCCTTCCAAGGCGCCAGTACTCTCTCCTCCACCACACCAGCGTCCTCCAGGTACTCTTGCCTCCAAACAAACAGCTCCCAAGGCATCTGTTCAACCCACCCGCCCTCTCACCAGACGTCACGTTCAGCTTTTTCGTGAGTGGAGGCGGCGTTGGACAGTTACTCACGATGGTGGACCTGGCAGCATGCCTCCAAACAAACAGCTCATCCAACTGCGGATGTGTTTGTCGCTGGAGAACCAGAAGTTTTGGAAACACGTTGCAAGTGCCTCCCGATTCTACATCTTCAATGACCTTTAGGAGCACGTTAAGGTCGGAATAACGAGGCTTTGCGTCACGCCTTCACCAGCTGCAAGCGGCGGGAGAACGAATCCTGACGACTTTTGTACGCTTGAAGAGTTTGTCAGAATCGACGTTTAAGGCGCTAGCCGAGAATGTGAAGCCTGGATCAAGGGATCTGGCAGGTGTCAGGCAGGAAGAGTTGGTGCAGCGACTCATCCCCTGGACGCTTCCTCCACACTCCAGGTGGTAGTGACTGAATGTCGGTCGTACGAGGCCACCAAGTCCGCCACCTCTGCGGGCCTCCTGCTGTGAGAGCAATCTCAGTACAAGAAGAAGAATGACCAACAACGCGAAGCTGCCACGTTCTTCACGCCTCGCCTAGTGCTTCCTTTGGCAGCTGTGGAAAACAGCCCCAAGACATGCCCAGCCGCCGACGCACTGTGTCGTGGATGTGACCGTGAAGGGCCACTGGTCCAACACAACAGGTGCCCTGCACAAGGCCCAAGTGTCAGGCCTGTGGTCGCTATAGACGACAAGTGCCGCCAACCCAAGCAAAGCCCCGAGGCAGGGGAGGCGCTGGGGTGATTCAGATGGCCCACAGCCCCAAGCAGCAGCTGAGTCACATCAGAAGGTGGACTCACCACACGCCCAGGGCTACCCCTTCCCACCATCCGCGTCGCCGTCCCAGTCACATCAGGTGATACCGACAGCGCCGATACTACTGTGATTGGGTTGAAGCACCTCCAGAAACTGGGCCTCACCAAATGTGACCTGGGACCACCGCCGCTGCTGCTGTACTACAATGCGGACGGTTCCCAGATGCCTGACGGGCTCCTTTCAAGCGGAGATCACTTACGCGACAGTCGTCACGATGGAGCAGCTACTCCCCCCGATCGAGCACCTCAAGGAGTTATGCATGGTACCCAGAGACTTTAGATCCCAGCTGCTACACCGCCAAGGGTACGTGAATCGCGAACCGCCTGGTGCTGCACCAGAAACTGCTGCCCAGAACCCGCGTCCCTCCCACCACAGGACGCTCCCTGCCCAGATCCTGTATGGTCACCTCGCTCTTCGTTCCTGCACACACCAAGGCCTTTGCGAAGGACTGGAGAAACCCGAGCTGCGACCGCCCAGCGCGCTACATGCCTAGGACGCCAAGGCTCGGTATGACGATGCCCGCCCTCTTCAGCCAGTGGAGATTGGTGCCCTTGTCCGTGTCAGGACGACGACGACACGTTGGGACAAGGTTGGCATAGTGATGGGCGTCGGCGGTCCTGGGACTACAAGGTCAGGATGCCCGGCGTGTCTGGTGGAGGAATCGCTTCCTCCAGCCAGTCTGCTGCTGGCCCCTGACCAAAGACAGCCCTACACCTCACGAGGATCCGCCCCACACCTCGACGCTCAGGCGACTTAGGACTAAGAAGTCCGCTCAAGAGACAGACTATGAGGCGTGAGGGGGGGGGAGATGTAGGTTATGTATATCTACTGTGCCAGTAGCAACCCTGTATATAAGCTACTGTGCCGAGTAGCATTATATATATTATTACGTAACACTGCACGTTATGTATTACTGCCATGGCAAGGCAGCCTCAGTCCTGTGCAGAGTCACCACTTGTATTTCTCTCATCCATAATAAACGGACTTCAGTGTTACAGTCTACCCATCACTGCATTCTTCAGGGAACACTTGTAACCACCAGTCATAATAACGAGTCACAAATCCCATGAATTGGAGAAAAAAAAACCTGTCAGTTTTCTTACCACTCGACAAGTTAGAGCTGGTGGTAAACCCAGGTGTAGGAATATTGCTTTTAAGAGTGTGGGTAATAGTGATTGGGTAAGAGGATGGTGGGGTGTGGGAGTGGGGTTTGAGGGTGTGGATGTGTGTTGTTATGTGTGTGGGGGTGTGGGTGAGTGGGGTTTGAGGGTGTGGATGTGTGTTGTTATGTGTGTGTGTGTGTGTGTGTGTCAAGGGTATTACAGGTCGCCACTGGACAAGAAAATCCATAGTTCGACTTTAAGCTTCGAACAAACGACCTCACGACCTCACAACCTTACAACCTCACAACCTTACAACCTCACGAACAGATGACCTCACGACAAGACAACCTTACAGCCTCACGGCCCTCCCACGACCTCACGACCAGACGACCTCACGACCAGACGGCCTCATAACCTCACAGCCTGACGACTCGAGCAAGTTCCGGGTCATTTGGCTCCCGAGTTACTGTTACTGTGTGTGTGTGTGTGTGTGTGTGTGTGTGTGTGTGTGTGTGTGTATGTGTGTGTGTGTGTGTGTGTAGGAGAGAAAGAAAAAAAATGTTTGTGGGGTGAAAGAGAAAGAATGAATATTTTTTATGTATACGTATAAGAGAGAAGAATAGGGGAAAGTCAGCGGCAGGCAAACAAACAGACAGACAGACAGACAGAGGACAGGACAGACAGATAGACAGACAGACAGACAGACCAGAGACAGACCAGAAGAGAAGAGAGCCCTTTCAGTCCTGCCTACAGTCAGACAAAAGTCAAGGTGCCCAGGAGAAATTATCAATATTATGGTCTAGCGTTCGTCGATTACTGATTCGGATCGCGTTCTCAGATCTTCCTGTCTACGAACAAGTCTATTTTTGTCGTTGCGAGATAAGAAGAGAGGGATCGGGGGTCGTCTGTCCCTGTGGATAGGAAGGATAGGAGGTTGGTTTGTTGGTATGTTTACATGAGTCTCTGCACCTAACCTAACTTAACCTAACCTAACCTAACCTAACTTAACCTTCCAAAAAAGTCGAAAAGATAACTGTTTTCAGAAGTCAGATTAAAAGCAAGTCGTCTTCCCTCCAAAAAATAAGAAAAAATTTTATCGCCGAAATCTACGAAAACAAATCCATTTTCGCTCCAAAATTGACCAAAATAAACTTTTCCATTACCATTAAAGAAAATGGAGCGAAAGTCGACGAACCTTTTCGAGGGCGGACTTGAGAAATGAACTACCGTTATTGAGAAATTACAAGACCGACAAGTAAGGCTTTCTCTAGTCAAGTAAATTGTCGAATTACCTGTACCTGTAATTGAATTGGGCCACTCATTAATACTTACACAGAGGACCAATTCTCAAGTGGTTGTGCTTTCCGAGTTTTAAGTGAGCACAACATTTGATCTTGATATTAAATATTTTCTAAGTCAATATAGAAGCAATTAACTTTCCCTCTTAAATATTTCTTAGGGTCAATTTAACATCACTGAGTTACCTGTGATAATTACGGTTCACCTGGCGAGAGAAGGATCTTGTTAGCTGCCATATTAAGACCCAGCTTCCCGTCACTACCATACCTCTAGTTAATGTCTCTCTTTATCTTTGGTCAGTCAGGTAACCCTCAACAATGCCATATGTAACTTTATCCCATCTGTTTAGTGTATATTATTATTATTATTATTGTTATTATTATTATTATTATTATTATTTGTTATTATTATTATTTATTATTATTATTATTATTATTATTATTATTATTATTATTATATTTATGGAACACACACACACACACACACACAAGTTCTATAGGTGTTAATTAAGTTGCACCTGTAAAATGATTCTAACACCATCCACCTCCTCCCCCTCCCCCCTCCTCCCTCCACCCCCACACACAGCCTGACTCACTCCAACCTGGCTGGATCTAAACAAATCAATTACGCTCATTAACTTAACATTATTCACTTTGCATAATAATGAATACGTTTTTTGTGTGTGTTCTTATGAAAGCCTCCAGGAGAGATGACACGTTCATTACTTACACATACTGACATACAACCACAGAAATACATTGTACTCATAGACATACGTACACAAACACATACATACATACAACTAATAATAATATAAACTGTCTAAAATTACACACCAAAGTAATATTTAGGTGTTAAAGAGCCTCCATTACTCACTATCACTCAAGTGTTTATAAAATGCAAATTAATCTCTCTCTCTCTTTTCTATTTTCGTTTTATCAATTATTTTTCATACATTTATTTAACGTATGTCTTTCTATTCTCGGTTTTTTCAATGAATTTTAAGCTTAGTTTAATTTACTTTTGAAAAAATATAATTAATATTTTCTTTCTTCAAGCTTATCTGATAGTTTTTATAAGCTTATATAAGGTGGCTTTTCCTTAAGCTTTTGTATGGTGATTTTTATAAGCTTATGTGTGGTAGTTTTTATAAACTCGTATGGTAGTTTTCCCTAAGCTTACGTATGGTGGTTTTTCCCTAAGCTTATCTGGTGGTGGTTTTTCCCGAAGCTTACGTGTGGTGGTTGAAGTACTAGCTAAGGTACTAGGCGTTATCTGGGGTTGTTTACGAGGACTAGTTATTTTCTACAGCCGCTACCATATCACTTCTTCCCCCCGCCGCCCGCCCGCCCGCCCACCCACCACCCACCTATTTTAGATGTATTTTTTGAGTGGGTTTCATATTTGGGTGGGTGGTTTGTTATGTTTGGTGGTGGGAGTGTGGCGGTGGGTGACTGGGTGGTGGTGGGTGACTGGGTGGTGGAGTGACTGGGTGGTGGTGATGGTGGTGGGTGGTGGGTGACTGGGCAGTGGGGTGACTGGGTGGTGGGTGGTGGAGTGACTGGGTGGTGAAGTGACTGGGTGGTGGGTGACTGGGTGGTGGGTGACTGGGTGGTTGACTGGGTGGTTGGTGACTGGGTGGTGGGTGTGGGTGGTGGGCAGCGTAATAAATCATATCTACCAAGTCTTTATCATTTTTGTAATCAAGAGTGAGGTAGGCAGGTCAGGTCACCTCCCTGTAGCCCTGAGAGGTAATGTACTAGCTCTCTCTCTCTGGCAACTTAAGAACTCTGATATACGGGCACAGTGGCGGAGTGGTCAAGGTACTAGAGAGTCAGCCAAGTGATCCCTGGTTCAAATCTTCCACCGAGTAGAAACCTTTCCACTCATTACCTGACTTACTGAGCCTCCTTCAACGATCTGACCTCTTCAACTGACTTCTTTACCTGACTCCTGCCCCCCCTCCTCTCGCTTCGGTCATCAGGGAATGCGGAGGACAACGACGACCCCCTCGAAGGCCACAACGCACAGCTCCTGTACTCGCTGGAGAAGAACGCCATCGATGAGTCAACAGGCAGCCCCATCTTCGCCGTGGACAGTCAGCGAGGCGTTATTACCACTGCCGTCTGCTGCCTCGATCGTGAGAAGACCCAACATTACGCCATCCAGGTGGTAGCTACTGACGGAGGTGGTCTTAAAGGTGAGGGGTACTGCAGGGTCTTGTTTTGGGTCATTGTGAGTTTGGTATTTTTGTTTAGGTTGTTTATTGAAAACGTCACAGGGATGGGATGTTGTTTTGTAATGGTCAGTGGTTTAACTCTGGAGTACCTTAGGCAGTATTTTGGGTCCTAATCTGTTTAGTATTTCTTATAAGTATGAAATTGTTTTGATACCGAAGATATCAGTCCCATTAACCCCCATTCACCCCCTTACTACCCCGTCCCATTCACTCGCCCTTTATTACCCCGCCCCATTCACTTCCTCACTACCCCATCCCCAGGTACAGGCACGATACTGGTTGACGTGGCTGATGTAAACGACGTGGCGCCTAGATTTACACGACCAGAGTGGGTACTGGATGTGTCGGAGAGCCTCGCCCCTGACCACGTCCTGGCCACCCTCACCGTCATCGACCCCGACGTGGATAATCTTCACCTTCAGGGGTAAGTCGCGGAAACCCCCCCACCCCGGAGTCTTAGAGGTTTATTGATATTTTTCCTTCCTAAAGATATTTACAAGGACGATTTCCCGGTTCGGTTAGTAACTTGAGTAGGAGAGTAAAGAGTCGTATGCAAGGTGTTCAGACGTTGTACTCAAGGTGTTTGAATGCTCCAGGTGTTTAGACGTTGTACTCAAGGTGTTCGGACGTCGTACTCAAGGTGTTCAGACATCGTACTCAAGATATTAAACCATTATGGACAGGTGACAGGACCTACCCCATGTACTTCAATTGACAGGACCTATCCCTTACGTCCCTAGGTGGTGCCGGGCAGTGGACGGGGATGGGAGAGGTTTCAGCTAGAGGGACGGCAAGAGGGGGGCGGCCCTGGGGGTGACCTGAGAGCCCTGACTGCCCTAGACTATGAAAACCCTGAACATAGACGAGGGTTTTCCTTCAGAGTCCAAGTATCCGATGTGGTAAGTCATTTTCTTTCTCTAAACAGGTGATTAATTATCTTCCTTCAGACAGGTAGATAGGTGTGGTTTCTTTGTGTGTTGTGGGTAATAATAATAATAACAACAACAATTAAAATAAAAAAAAAAAAAATAACAAAAACCAAAATAACAAAAAAATAACAATAACAAAATAACAACAACGACAAAAACAATAACAACAACAACAATAACAACAACAACAACAATAATCTCCAGACAGGTAACAGTTGGCAGGATAGGCACCATGTGGACAGTGCCTGGGTGAACCTTACCTTAGTGGATGCCAACGATAATCCGCCCACCCTCGCCGCCCACCACGTCTATCGTACCCTCCCTGAAGACACGCCCACGGGTACACGCTTAGCAACCTTCACCGCCTACGATCTTGATGGGGTGAGTATTGGTATTGGTGAAGGTAGTGGTAGTGGTGTTGACAGTGATAATGATGATAATAATAATATATGATAATAAAAATAATAATAAAACAACAACAACAATAGCAGATACAACACCACCACCACCACCACCAACAATAACAACAACAACAATAACATCATCTCCTCATCCCCCCTCCCCAGGCAGGTGAGACCAATATGACCTACCTGGTGTCAGCAGCGAGTGACCCGGGTGGAAAGTTCAGGGTGGACGAGACGGGGACGGTGTGGCTCGTGGGCGGCCTGGACCGAGAGACTAATGCCGCCCATACTGTCCTCATGTGGGCGGTGGACGATGGAGTGCCGCCCAGGACAGCTACAGCTACCCTTAGTGTGAGTAACGGAGTGTTTGAGTAACGGAGCTCTGAGTGTCGTAACAAGTGGTCAGAGAAGGGAAAGTTAACGTGTAATGGGGAGAACATTTTTTATGTAACTTTCTAATATTGTAGGAAAGAAAGGGAGAGGAAATTAGACCGAGAGATAAAGAAGAACCAGATGTGAGGGAGAATAGAAAGTTTAATGAAATGGAAAGTATTTATGGATGTCTGATTTTTTATTATTGTGGAATAGAAAGTTTAGAGTTTGGTGAAATAGAAAGTGTTGATGGTTGTTTTCTGGCTTTCTTTAATTAACGAAGAGAAAGAAAGTTTGATGGTTGATGAAAAAGAAAGTAAATATGGTTGTGTTTCCCATAATGAAAGAGAAAGTTATCAAAAATAACACGAAGAGAGTTTGGCCAAGGTGCGTGCAGACTTTCTAATGATGAGAAGAAAGTAAAAGAAAATTAGTGGAAAAAAATAAAGGAGGAAAGTTTACTCCACTGTGTAACTTTGTTTATATTACTGCTTTTCACCTCATTACACACACACACACACACACACACACACACATACACACACACATCCTTGACCACCGAAGGGTCAAGACGTACCTGGCGCTCCTCTCCAGAGCAGCCAGGTCAACTGTTAAGTTGGCCCATACCAACCCCCTCCCTGAACCCTCCTCCCCACCGGAATATCAACAGGTGAACAGTGGTGAACAGTGCTTAAGTCAGTGAGAACAACTCAACAGTAACAGTCACCCCAAGTTAACCTTCACACAGTGAGGTTCCAGGTACCCAGTGATAACGGCCCCACGGCCAACAACAACCACCGATGTGTTAATCCGTCTACGATAGGAAGGCCTGGGACTAAACCTCACTCATATAACACCATCTGTGAGGATTACTACACCACATGTCCCTCATAACACCATATGTGAGAATTACTACACTACGTCAAGTCCCTCATCACACCATCTGTGAGGAATTACTACACCACGTGAGGTCCTCATAACACCATCTGTGAGAATTACTACACCGTCAGGCCCCTCATAACACCATCTGTGGGGAATTACTACTCCACGTGATGCCCCTCATAACACCATCTGTGAGGTTACTGCACCACGTGAGGCCCCCTCATAACACCATCTGTGAGGTAATTACTACACGTGAGGTCCCTCATAACACCATCTGTGAGGTAATTACTACACCACGTGAGGTCCCTCATAACACCATCAGTGAGAATTACTACACCCGTGAGGCCCTCATAACACCATCAGCGAGAATTGCTACACCACGCCAGGTCCCTCATAACATCATCTGGGGAACTACTACACCACGTGAGTTCCTCCTAACACCATCTGGGAGGAGTTACTACACCACGAGTTTGCTGTTCAACACCTGCATTAATCTGTTCACTGTATGTTCCTTTACCTTTCTCTAATGAAGGCTTTTGTTAAACCACCATTGTATGTAATAAGTCATTTATGTCCAATGTATATTTTCAGCCTTCGGGCTGCAGAATTTTTTCAATAAACCGTTAATTAGTATTATTATTATTATTACACACTACTACCCTCCCCTCCCACACACAGGTAAACAATAATCTAAATCTACCTTAATCACTTACGTTCACTTTCTCTCCCCCCCCTCCACAGGTAAAGGTAACAGACGTGGTAACCCCCGTTCTTGGCCGAGCCTCGAAGGGTAGAGAGGAGAACACTGGCCCGAGGGTGGTGGCCAAGGTCAAGTTAGGTGACCCCGATGACTGGAAGAGTGGCCATGGTCCGCCCTTCACCATAATGACCCTCGAGCACCACCTCACATCACTGCAGCTGTCACCCTCAGCTACGACCATAGTGAGTGGTATGGGAAGGAGAGAAGAGAAGAGAGAGAGAGAGAGTAGAGAGGTAGAGTGCGGGGAAAGGAGGGACTGTATGAAGAGAGAGAGAGAGAGAGGTAAATAGGAGAAAAAAGAGGACGGAAAAGAAAAAAGATAAATGGGGGAAAGAAAAGGAAATAGAGATAACGAGAGAACGAGGGGAGAGAGATAATGAAGAGGGAGTGAGATGAATAGAAACTGTTGAAAGTAAAGAAAGCGTGAGAGAGAATTTGCATATTAACTTAATATCACTGTCAAACTAACTCACCCAAAGTCTATAACCCCTCCTGTGACCTCTGACCTGTAACCTCTGACCTCTCATATACTATCAACACCTATCATATATTATACCAATCTAGTGATATATTAGAGATATTTTACACACACACACACACACACACACACACACACACACACACACACACACATCCCTCGACCCACGTTAAGACAGACAACTAGTAATTAAGAGAGAGAGAGAGAGAACTGGTCTTGTTAGGTGATTATTTACTGAAAATAATATATATATGTTGGGGTCTTTCAGTAGTCTTAGTTGTGTCAAAAGTCTTGAGTTGCTGGGGGGTAGTGAGTGTGGTGGTAAGTAGTGTGTAGTTGAGACGGGGCAGTAGTTTACCAGTTAACATTGAGTCTTACAAGTGGGAGATAGTTAAGAGATAGTTCCCTAATACACGATATCTCTCATTTTACCGCAGGAGGAGACGATGGGCGTGGCGTGGGCGTAGTGAGGACGCGGGCGGCACTGAACAGGAAGGAACGTCGCGCCCTTCTCGTTCCCCTGGTGGTGAGTGACGCTGGGGCACTGTCCGCCTCCCTGACACTTACCCTCCACGTGGCTGACCTCAACGATAACCCCATGACCTCAGGAGCCAAGACTGTCACTGTCCGGCACCTTCAGGTAAGTCCCAAGGTCACTGTCACCGGGAAATAGCCTCCCACTCTCACTCCTCTTCCTCACACCGACAGGATTCATCTCTCACTCCTCCTACAGCCACAGGATTCATCTCTCCCTCCTCCTACAGCCACGTTCATCTCTCCCTCCTCCTACAGCCACAGGCTTCATCTCTCCTCCTCCTACAGCCACAGATTCATCTCTCCCTCCTCCTACAGCCACAGGCTTCATCTCTCCCCCCCTCCCCAGTTATCTCTCTCTCCCAGCCACAGATTCATCTCTCCCTCCTCCACAGCCACAGGTTCATCTCTCCCTCCTCCCTACAGCCAGGCTTCATCTCTCCCTCCTCCCTACAGCCACAGGTTCATCTCACTCCTCCTACAGCCACAGGCCTCATCTCTCCCTCCTCCCTACAGCCACAGGCTTCATCTCTCCCCTCCTACAGCCACAGGATTCATCTCACTCCTCCTACAGCCGATTCATCTCTCCCTCCTCCTACAGCCACAGGCTTCATCTCTCCCCTCCTCCTACAGCCACAGGATTCATCTCTCCTCCTCCTACAGCACAGGATTCATCTCTCCCTCCTCCTACAGCCCAGCTTTCTCCCCCCTCCTCAAGCACAGTTCATCTCTCCTCCTCCCTACAGCACAAGTTCATCTCTCCTCCTCCTCGCCACAGGATTCATCTCTCCTCCTCCTACAGCCACAGGTTCATCTCTCCCTCCTCCTGCAGCCACGGATTCATCTCTCATCCTCCTACAGCCACAGGCTTCATCTCTCCCTCTCCTACAGCCACAGGCTCTCTCCCTCCTCCACAGCCACAGGCTTCATCTCTCACTCCTCCTACAGCCACAGGATTCATCTCTCCTCCTCCTACAGCCACAGGATTCATCTCTCCTCCTACAGCCACAGGCTTCATCTCCCCTCCTACAGCCACAGGATTCATCTCTCCCCCTCCTACAGCCACAGGATTCATCTCTCACTCCTCCTACAGCCACAGGATTCATCTCCTCCTCCTCCTACAGCCACAGGTTCATCTCTCCTCCTCCCTACAGCCAAGTTCATCTCTCCTCCTCCCTACAGCCACAGGCTTCATCTCCCCCCTCCTACAGCCACAGGCTTCATCTCTCCTCCTCCTACAGCCACAGTTCATCTCCTCCTCCTACAGCCACAGGTTCATCTCTCCCTCCTCACAGCCACAGGATTCATCTCTCACTCCTCCCTACAGCCACAGGATTCATCTCTCACTCCTCCTACAGCCACAGGCTTCTCTCCCCTCCTCCTACAGCCACAATTCATCTCACTCCTCCTACAGCCACAGGATTCATCTCTCCCTCCCCCACAGCCACAAGTTCATCTCTCCTCCTCCTACAGCCACAGACTTCATCTCTTCCCTCCTACAGCCACAGGATTCATCTCTCACTCCTCCTACAGCCACAGGCTTCATCTCTCCTCCTCCTACAGCCACAGGCTTCATCTCTCCTCCTCCCCTCAACCCGTTTCTCTCCTCCTCCTACAGGATTCATCTCTCACTCCTCCTACAGCCACAGGCTTCATCTCTCCCCCCTCCTACAGCCACAGGATTCATCTTTCCTCCTCCTACAGCCACAGATTCATCTCTCCTCCTCCTACAGCCACAGGATTCATCTCTCCTCCTCCTACAGCCACAGGCTTCATCTGTCCCCCTCCTACAGCCACAGGTTCATCTCTCCTCCTCCTACAGCCACAGGATTCATCTCTCCCTCCTCCTACAGCCACAGGATTCATCTCTCCACTCCTCCTACATACAGGCTTCTGTCTCTCTCCTACACACAGGTTCATCTCACTCGTCCTACAGCCACAGGATTCATCTCCCTCCTCCTACAGCCACAGGATTCATCTCTCACTCCTCCTGCAGCCACAGGCTTCATCTCTCCTCCTCCTACAGCCAGGCTTCATCTCTCCTCCTCCTACAGCCACAGGATTCATCTCTCCTCCTCCTACAGCCACAGGATTCATCTCTCCTCCTCCTACAGCCACAGGCTTCATCTCTCCCTCCTCCTACAGCCACAGGCTTCATCTCTCCCTCCTCCTACAGCCACAGGATTCATCTCTCCTCCTCCTACAGCCACAGGATTCATCTCTCCCTCCTCCTACAGCCACAGATTCATCTCTCCTCCTCCCTACAGCCACAGGATTCATCTCTCCTCCTCCTACAGCCACAGTTCATCTCTCCCTCCTCCCTACAGCCACAGGCTTCATCTCTCACTCTCCTACACCACAGGATTCATCTCTCACTCCTCCTACAGCCACAGGATTCTCTCTCCTCCTCCTACAGCCACAGGCTTCATCTCTCCCTCCTCCTACAGCCACAAGTTCATCTCTCACTCCTCCTACAGCCACAAGTTCATCTCTCACTCCTCCTACAGCCACAGGATTCATCTCTCCTCCTCCTACAGCCACAGGCTTCATCTCTCCCTCCTCCTACAGCCACAGGATTCATCTCTCCCTCCTCCTACAGCCACAAGTTCATCTCTCCCTCCTCCCTACAGCCACAGGCTTCATCTCTCCCTCCTCCCCCTACAGCCACAGTTCATCTCTCCTCCTCCTACAGCCACAGATTCATCTCTCCTCCTCCCTACAGCCACAGGATTCACTCTCTCCCTCCTCCCTACAGCCACAGGATTCATCTCCCTCCTCCTACAGCAGGCTTCATCTCCCTCCCCTACCACAGGCTTCATCTCTCCTCCTCCTACAGCCACAGGATTCATCTCTCCCTCCCTACAGCCACAGGCTTCATCTCTCCCTCCTCCTACAGCCACAGGCTTCATCTCTCTCCCCTCCTCCCTACAGCCACAGGCTTCATCTCTCCCTCCTCCCTACAGCCACAGGCTCATCTCTCCCTCCTCCTACAGCCACGGTTCATCTCTCCTCCTCCTACAGCCACAGGATTCATCTCCCCTTCCCCCTCCAGCCACGCTCCCCCTCCTACAGCCACAGGATTCATCTCTCCCTCCTCCTACACAGGTTCATCTCTCCTCCTCCTACAGCCACGATTCATCTCTCCTCCTCCTACAGCCCAGGATTCATCTCTCCTCCTCTACAACATTCATCTCTCCCTCCTCCTACACCACAAGTTCATCTCTCCCCCTCCTACAGCCACAGGATTCATCTCCTCCTCCTACAGCCACAGGATTCATCTCTCACTCCTCCTACAGCCACAGGATTCATCTCTCCCACTCCTCCCTACAGCCACAGGTTCATCCCTCTCCTCCTTCCTATTCATCTCCCTCCTCCTACAGCCACAGGATTCATCTCTCCCCCTCCTACAGCCACAGGATTCATCTCCTCACTCCTACAGCCACAGGTTCATCTCTCCTCCTCCTACAGCCACAGGACGCTGCAGTGCCGCAGGAGAGTCTATGTGAAAACCCTGACGTGGACGCCGAAGGAAGACTTACACCTGAGAATCTTCCACCCTCATTCCTCCCTCATGCCTCCACAGGACACCTCACTATGAGCCTCACACACCTGACGGCAGGTAGGTGGAGGCAGGTGGGGATGGAGAGGTTTGGAGGTGATATAGGAGTGGAGAGGTGATATAGAGGATGGTAGAGAGGAGGAACAACCCACAATCAGCTCTCTCTGCCCCCCCCCCTCTATCTCTCTCCCCCTCTTATCTCCCACCTCTCTCTCTCTGTCTCCCCTCCCCACCTCTCTCTCTCTTTCTCCTCCACCCTCTCTCTCTCCCCCTCCCCACCTCTCTCCTCTCTCTCTCTCTTCTCCCTCCCACCTCTCCCTCTCCTCTCTCCTCCCATCTCTCTCTCTATCTCCCTCCCACCTCTCTCTCTCTTTCTCCCTCCCACCCCTCTCTCTCTCCCCCTCACCTCTCTCCTCTCTCTCTCTATCTCCCTCCCCTCTCCTCTCTATCTCCCCTCCCACCTCTCCTCTCTATCTCCCTCCCACCTCTCTCTCTTTCTCCCTCCCACCCCTCTCTCTCCCCTCCCACCTCTCTCCCTCTCTCTCTCTCCCCCTCTCCCCTCCCCACCCCTCTCTCTCTCTCTCCCTCCCACCTCTCCCTCTCTATCCTCCCTCCCCACCTCTCTCTCTCTTTCTCCCTCCCCACCCCTCTCTCTCCCCCTCCCACCCCTCTCTCCTCTCTCTCTCTCCCTCCCCACCTCTCTCTCTCTATCTCCCTCCCACCCCTCTCTCCTCTCCTCTCTCCCTCCCCTCTCCCTCTCTTTCTCCTCCTCCCCCCTCTCTCTCTCCCCCTCCCCTCTCTCTCTCTCTCTCTTCTCCCTCCCCTCTCTCTCTCTCATCTCTCCCACCTCTCCCTCTCTCTCCTCCCACCTCTCCCCCCTCTCTATCTCCCTCCCCACCCCTCTCTCTCCCCCCTCCCACCTCTCTCCTCTCTCTCTCTCTTCTCCTCCCACCTCTCTCTCTATCTCCCTCCCCTCTCTCTCTCTCTATCTCCCCTCCCACCTCTCCCTCTCTATCCTCCCTCCCACCCCTCTCTCTCTCCCCCTCCCTCTCTCCTCTCTCCCTCTCTTCTCCCTCCCCACCTCTCCCTCTCTTCTCCCTCCACCTCTCCCTCTCTCTCTTTCCTCCCCACCTCTCCCTCTCTATCTCCTCCCACCCTCCCTCCCCTCTCTCTCCCCTCCCACCCCTCTCTCTCCCCCCTCCCCACCTCTCTCCTCTCTCTCTCTCTCTCTCCCTCCCACCTCTCTCTCTCTTCCTCCCCCTCTCCCCTCTTCTCCCCTCCCACCTCTCTCTCCTATCTCCCTCCCACCCTCTCCCTCTCTTCTCCCTCACCTCTCTCTCTCTTTCTCCTCCACCCCTCTCTCTCCCCTCCCACCTCTCTCCTCTCTCTCTCTATCTCCTCCCACCTCTCCCTCTCTATTCTCCCCTCCCACCCTCTCTCTCTCCCTCCCCTCTCTCTCTCTCTCTTCCCCTCCCACCTCTCCTCTCTCTCCCTCCCTCTCCCTCTCTATCTCCCCTCCCACCCCTCTCTCCTCCCCTCCCACCTCTCTCCCTCTCCTCTCTCCTATCTCCCTCCCCACCTCTCCCTCTCTCTCTCCCTCCCCACCTCTCCCTCTCTCCTCTCCCTCCCACCCCTCTCTCTCCCCCTCCCCACCTCTCCTCTCTCTCTCTCTATCTCCCTCCCACCTCTCTCTCTCTATCTCCCTCCCCTCTCCCTCTCTCTCTCTCCCCTCTCTCTCTCTCTTTCTCCCCACCTCTCTCTCTCTCCATCCCACCCCCTCTCTCTCTCCTTCCCACCTCTCTCTCTCTCCCTCCCACCCCTCTCTCTCTCTCTCCCTCCCCACCTCTCCCTCTCTCCCACCTCTCTCTCTCTCTCCTCCCACCTCTCCCTCTCTCCCTCCCACCACCTCTCCCCTCTCTCTCCCTCCCACCACCCCTCTCTCCCTCTCTCTCCCTCCCCACCTCTCTCTCTCTCTCCCCTCCCACCCTCTCTCTCCTCTCTCTCCCTCCCCTCCTCTCCCCCTCCCCTCTCTCTCTCTCTCCCCTCCCACCTCTCTCTCTCTCTCCCTCCCCACCTCTCTCTCTCTCCCCCCTCCCACCTCTCTCTCTCTCCCTCCCACCTCTCTCCCCCTCCACCTCTCTCTCTCTCTCTCTCCCCTTTCACCTCTCTCTCTCTCCCCTCCACCTCTCCCTCTCTCTCCCCTCCCCCACCACCTCTCCCTCTCTCTCCCTCACCACCTCTCCTCTCTCTCCCCTCCCCACCTCTCTCTCTCCCCCTCCCTCTCTCTCTCCCTCTCTCTCTCTCCTCCCCCTCCCTCTCCCCCTCCCACCTCTCCCTCTCTCTCCCTCCCCACCTCCTCTCTCTCTCCCCCCTCCCACCTCTCTCTCTCTCTCTCTCTCTCCCTCCCACCTCCCCTCTCTCCCCCCTCCCCACCTCTCTCTCTCTCTCCCCTCCCCACCTCTCTCTCTCTCCCCCCTCCCCTCTCTCTCTCTCCCCTCCCCACCTCTCTCTCTCTCCCCTCCCACCTCTTCCTCTCTCTCTCCCCTCCCCCCTCTCCCCTCTCTCTCCCTCCCACCTCCCTCTCTCCCCTCCCACCTCTCTCTCTCTCCCACCCACCTCTCTCTCTCTCTCTCTCTCTCTCTCTCTCTCTCTCTCTCTCTCTCTCTCCCCTCCCTCCTCTCTCTCTCTCCTTCCCCACCTCTCTCTCTCTCTCTCTCTCCTCCCACCTCTCCCCTCTCTCTCCCTCACCCTCTCCCCTCTCTCTCCCTCCCCACCTCTCTCTCTCCCCTCCCACCTCTCTCTCTCTCTCTCTCCTCCCAACCCCTCTCTCCTCCCTCTCTCCCCTCCCCACCTCTCTCTCCTCCCCTCTCCCACCTCTCTCTCTCTCTCCCCCACCCCCCCTCTCTCCCCCCTCCCACCTCTCTCTCTTCTCCCCTCCCACCCCCTCTCTCCCCTCCCATCTCTCTCTCTCTCTCTCTCCTCCCACCTCCTCTCTCTCCCCTCCCACCTCTCTCTCTCCCTCTCACCTCTCTCTCTCCCCTCCCCACCTCTCCCTCTCTCTCCCCTCCCCTCCCCTCTCTCCCCCTCCCCACCTCTCTCTCTCTCCCTCCCCACCTCTCTCTCTCTCTCTCTCTCTCTCTCTCTCTCTCTCTCTCTCTCTCTCTCTCTCTCTCTCTCCCCTCCCTCCTCTCTCTCTCTCCCCTTCCCACCTCTCTCTCTCTCTCTCTCCCTCCCCACCTCTCCCTCTCTCTCCCCTCACCACCTCTCCTCTCTCTCCCTCCCACCTCTCTCTCTCCCCCTCCCACCTCTCTCTCTCTCTCCTCCTCTCCCTCCCAACCCCTCTCCCCTCCCACCTCCTCTCTCTCTCCCTCCCACCTCTCTCTCCCGCTCCCTCCCCTCTCTCTCTCTCTCCCCACCCCCCCTCTCTCTCCCCTCCACCTCTCTCTCTATCTCCCTCCCACCTCTCTCCCCCCTCCCATCTCTCTCTCTCTCTCTCTCTCCCTCCCACCTCCCCTCTCTCCCTCCCACCTCTCTCTCTCTCCCCTCTCACCTCTCTCTCTCTCCCCTCCCCACCTCTCTCTCTATTCCCTCCCCCCCTCTCTCCCCCCTCCCCACCTCTCTCTCTCTCCCTCCCACCCCTCTCTCCCCCTCCCACCTCTCCCCTCTCTTTCTCTCCCCACCTCTCTCTCCTCTCTCCCTCCCCACCCCTCTCTCCCCCCTCCCACCTCTCCCCTCTCTCTCTCTCCCCCCTCCCCCTCTCTCTCTCCCTCCCACCTCTCTCTCTCCCCCCCACCTCTCTCTCTCCCCCCCCACCTCTCTCTCTCTCCCCCCACCTCTCTCTCTCCTACCCCTCCCCACCCCTCTCCCCCTCCCTCCCCCCTCTCTCCCCTCCCCTCTCTCTCTCTCCCTCCCCTCCCTCTCTCCCCCTCCCCACCTCTCTCTCTCTCCCCTCCCACCTCTCCCTCTCTCTCCCTCCCCACCTCTCTCCTCTCTCTCCTCCCCTCCCTCTCTCTCCCCCTCCCACCCTCTCTCTCTCTCTCCCCTCCCCTCCACCCCTCTCTCCCCCCTCCCACCTCTCTCTCTCTCTCCCCTCCCAACCCCCCTCTCCCTCCCACCTCTCTCTCTCTCTCCCTCCCCCACCTCTCTCTCCTCCTCCCACCTCTCTCTCTCTCTCTCTCCCTCCCACCTCTCTCTCCCTCCACCTCTCCCCTCTCTCTCCCCTCCCCACCTCTCCCTCGCTCTCCTCCCACCTCCCTCTCTCTCCCCTCCCACCTCTCTCTCTCTCTCCCCTCCCCTCCCACCCCTCTCCTCCTCCCCCACCTCTCCCTCTCTCCCTCCCACACCCCTCTCTCTCCCCACCTCTCTCTCTCCTTTCCCTCCCACCTCTCCCTCTCTCCCACCTCTCCTCTCCCTCTCTCTCCCCTCCCCTCTCCCCTCTCCTCTCTCTCCTCCCCTCTCTCTCTCTCCCCTCCACCTCTCCCTCTCTCTCCCTCCCACACCCCTCTCTCTCCCTCCCACACCTCTCTCTCTCCCTCACTGTTACAACACAACACAATCACCTCTTCCCGCCCTCACCCCAATTCCCCTCACTTGTTATTCTCCTCTCGGTCGCCCAGCTGAGTGTAATAGCAATCAGATGCCGTGTTCAGAGTTTGGGTCTGTTTTGTACAAACGCTTCAGGTCAGGGCGAGAGAGGCGACGCAAGCAAGGACGCAAGCAGGGGGAACAGGGGACGTGTATGACGCAAATAAGCAGGGGAGATAGCAAGCAAACAAGCAAGAATTAGGGGAAGGTTAATACATTATAGAAAAGCACAGACAAAGAAAAAATAATTCTCGTGTTTGTTTGGACTACGTAAATGGTGGTGGATTTTTCAATGTGTGTGTGTGTGTGTGTGTGTGTGTGTGTGTGTATAGCATTATCTGCACCCGTCATTATATGCAAATTATTACACATCTTCATACCTGAGGGTTGGCGACCACAGTCCTCCACTCATAAACTTTCTCGGGCTGTTTTTACCAATCCTCTTAAGTTCTTAATTTCATTCCTTCATCACAGTCTCTGCCTTCCCCTGGTCCTCCTATCCTCAACTTTTCTCATTAAATTTTCTGCTAGTATCCCTAATTATATGACCAGAGTTGTCTCATTTTCCTTATTCTATAAATTTTAGGTATTTCACTTTTTGCTAGCCTTTAGTATTTCTTTATTTGTTTTCCTTTCAGTGTGGCTTATTCTTATCATTAGCCTGTAACACCAACCCAACCCAACCCAACCCAACCCAGCACCCAACGCAACAGCCAACCAGCAAGCAACAACAGCAAACAACCCAGCCCAACCTAACCTAGCCACCCTAACTCCCGATCAGCAGCCCAACCCAGCCTAACCTTCTTTAACCCAACCTAACCTAACCCAACCTAACCTAACCTAACCAAACACCTGCTCTTAATGGCTTCAGGTACGAGTTGGGTTTTGAAGTAAGTGACGTCAGCCAGGGACAGACAGGTGTGACGGCCAATGTGACGGTACTGGTGACGTCACTCACTCCCCGTCACCTCGCCCACGTTACGCCCGTCACTCTCGCCGCCCACCCACACCAGGTCGTAACTCAGGATCAGGGAGCACAGGTATGATGGTAGATAAGTAGATTTACAGGTAGAAAAATAGATTAATAGGTAGAAAGGTAGATTGATAGGTAGAAAGGTAGATTGAAAGTTTGATGAATAGGTAGAATGTTAGAGAGAGAGAGAGAGAGAGAGAGAGAGAGAGACGGGAATAGTGATATAATAATAATAATAATAATAATCCATGCGTATCACATCCTTTCACTCATCAGGAAGGAGAGTCCTCTATCCTCAACCGACTAGTAGAGGCGGCTAGGAGGTGGATAGAAAAGGCTGGAGTGGATAGCGTAGATAAGGACAGCGTGGGCGTGGAGGTGGTGACCGTGGAGGAGTTTGGGAAGGACACGGACATGCCCATCACCCGTGTCTGGTTGACGTCCTTAGGAGCATCCAACCTGAATCATGTCCTGTTGTACCATAGGGAAGAGGTGGGTGCTGGTAGTTGTGGTAGTGGTGGTAGTAATGTTGGTAGTAGTGGTAGTGGTGATCAACATGTATCAGATCCTTCCTGTAAAATCACCCCCCCAAAAATAGTATCGGTACCCTTCTTTTCCTTAAACTGGGAGTGCCGGGGGGGGGATCGAACCACTGACCCCATGGAACAAGAGGCGAGTGCTGTCGCCAACTAACAGCCATACTCGTGGTGGTAGTAGTAGTAACACACACACACACACACACACACACACACACACACAATAATACGAATAAATCAAGAACCGAGAAGGAAATAGGATAATAAAAGTCCGGAATTATGAGACGTCCGGATACCAATTCCATCCAACTATGAACATTATCCGAACAGATAACGGCGCTAGTTAGATCAAAGTGGTCGAGTTGTGTCATGTAATAGAGGATTTTGTCCTTGTGTTTTATATCCGGGACAGAGTTATGGTGTGTGATGGTGGCCTGGGGGGTGAAGGAGATGGTGGCCTGGGGGTGAAGGAGGGTTGGGGCCTTGCCTGGGGGTGGAGGAGGGTGGTAGTGGCCTGGGGGGTGAAGTAGGGGTGATGGTGGCCTGGAGGATGAAGGAGGGTGATGGTGGCCTGGAGGGTGGCCTGGGGGTGAAGGAGGTGATGGTGTGAGGAGGGTGTTGGGGGCCTGGGGGTGAAGGAGGGGTGGTGGCATGGCCTGGGGTGAAGGGGTGGGGGTGGGGGGGTGGGGGTGAGGAGGGTGTTGGGGGCCTGGGGTGGGAGGGGTGATGGTGGCCTGGAGGGTGGAGAGGAGGGTGGGGGGGGTGGGGGTGAAGGAGGGTGATGGTGCCCTGGGGGTGAGGAGGGATGATGGTGGCCTGGGGGTGAAGGAGGGGGGTGTTGTTGGGGGCCTGGGGGGTGGAGGAGGTGGTGGTGTCCTGGGGGTGAAGTAGGGGTGATGGTGGCCTGGAGGGTGAAGGAGGGGTGATGGTGGCCTGGGGGTGAAGGAGGGGGGTGATGGGGGTCTGGGGGTGGGAGGGGGTGGTGGCCTGGGTGTGAAGAGGAGGTGATGGTGGCCTGGGGGTGAAGGAGGGGTGATGGTGCCCCTGGGGGAGGGGGGTGAAGGAGGGTGATGGTGGTGGCCGGGGGTGAAGGAGGGTGATGAGGCCTGGGGGGTGATGGGGTCTGGGGGGAAAGCAGAGCAAGAGTAGGGTCTGTTAAGGAGGGAGGACTGGTCGAAGGAGGGGGATGAGAGTCTGTTGGGGGAAGGGGGGTTGAAGGTTGGGGGTTGCATGAGGATTGTAGGGATTTTTGGAGGGGGACGGGGTGAGTGGTGTGGAGGGGATAGAGGTTAGAGTTTGAGTGGTGTGGAGAGGTGGAGGGAAGGGTTCGCTTTTGGGTGTTTCGGACCCCTGTTGTCATGAATACGGATATTGTTCTTCCTGTAAATGCGTCGGTCTGTAAACGATTCGAATCCTAAACGTTTCGAACTCTAAGCATTTCGGATTCAAGTGTTTCGTCTACATAGTATTTTGAAACACACACACACACACACACACACTCTCTCTCTCTCTCACTCTCTCTCTCTCTCTCTCTCTCTCTCTCTCTCTCTCTCTCTCTCTCTCTCTCTTCAAACGTTACAGTCCCAAAGGATTTAGAAACGTTCAAAGCTAAATCAGTCGGGTAGAAAATTCTCTTCACAGTTAAAACGTTTGGGATAGAAATTGTCAAAGCTATAATCACAACTATAACATTTTGGTTATAGACTTCTACCAATGTTGTAACGTTTGGTGAGGCCATAACAATCGTCACAGCTATGAATTAATAGTCACAGCTATGGACTAAGCGTCACAGCTATAGATTAATCGTCACATCTATGCATTAATCATCACAGCTACAGGTACAAGAGCCGTCACAACACCGCGTCACATACACACCTCCAACAGTGAACCTTTAAAACACATATTTGCATACATATTACTCCAGTTTGTTCGGGGTCTTTTTCCATCCAGATAAGTAAGTTACCCATTGACGCAAGCAATCGTTTTCTGTGGTGCGCTTGTTGCTACCTCAGTCCTTCGTATGTCTATTGTTTCATTGTATGTTGTCTATTGTTTTTCATTGTTGATATTTAATTTATTCTTATGTTTTTGTGTTTTTCCTGTGTTTTTCTTCTGATTGGTTAGTTAGGGTTGGTTAGGTTAGGTTAGAATTGCTTAAGTTAGGTTAGATTAGGGTCAATTGTTTCCATAGTGCTGCGTGTTATTTTTCTGAGAGTTTCCCCTACTTGTCTTTTGTTCCCGTTTTCTTCAGGGGGAGACTGAGTTATATTTGCTTTCATATTATATTCCTGTGGCTCAATAGTTCAAATATTCTTAGAAATTCCACATTCTTCATAAATATTCAACATGCCTATCGTTTTTCACAAGTCCCCTCCCCCCATCATCTGTTGTTTTGTTCCCTTTCTCTTTATGGATAACTATAGATATTTAATGTGTTATGTAGTTGGTTGAGTCCCCCCTTGTTCTATTCCAGTTTTCTTTTATAAGCTTAAATACTATATCATAATTGTCTATTGTTTTTGGACTACTGTATTATTAACCTCTTTACGTGCATATAAACCTTTGTTGTGTAAGCGCAGTAATAACATTTTAACAACAAGAAGGGAAGACTTAGGAAATTCAGTCACTTGATAGATACTAAATGTGTGTAGGATTTTATATGAGTACCCCCTAGTCCAACTTCCATTTTCTGATATAAGGGAAACTATCAGAATGGAAGAGGAGAGGAGGCAGAGAAGGATAACTGGTCAAAGGGGGCAATTGAGGACAGAGGAATTAGAAGAAAGTGGATAAACATGATGATAAACAACTGTGGATAGGACAATAAAGAATAAATAGAGATAAAGAATAGAAAAAGATAAGAATTTTAAGATTATCAGATTTGGTTACAGAGGTTTACCATTTTCTTTAGTCTGTCCTCTTTTCAAATCCATTTTCTTATTCCCGGGAGAAGATGGGAATATCGCCTCCTGCTCTCGTGATATTGTACTGCTGTTTGGAGGGAAGTTGTCCATTGAATCAGATAATCGGTTTCTGAATGTGAGGAGCGTGAGAGAGAACAGTGAGAGGTTGTGATTGAGGTTGAGAGAATGTGATGGGGTGGAAGATAGAGAGAGAGGGAGAGAGTGGATGAGATGGTGTGTGGATGTCTGAGGGTGTGTGAGGAAGAGAGCGGCGTCTGAAAGGGATGAAGAGGGAGAAGTGTGAGAGGGGTGAGAGAAAGTAGGAGAGAATGAGAGAGATATATGAGGGGAAATGAGAAGGAAGTGAGAGCGATGTTGAAAGGAGTATTCATATAACCTAGGATTTTTTTTTCTCCCACCTTCGTCAGGGTAACAGCACCACTACACGCAGATAGTTAGCGGACCAAATGCCCGTAGTGACACACACACACACACACTCTTTGTCTTTGGTCCCCCCAGGGTAAAAGATGTTCTCTGCGCTGCTGAAACGACTCCCAGGGCCTGTCACCCATCATCCCCCATCCCTCACCTCCTCCCCACCACCACGACTCATCAACACCTTTCCCTGACCAACAAAGATTGACGATCAAACCACAACTGATATATAAAAGTGATAATTTCAATTTAAATAGAATGAAAACAAGTGTTGGCCAGTCACAAGTCGGTGGGCGCTGTCCATGCAGACCTCAGACACCGGGGTACAAGCTCTATACTCTACACCAGGAGGAAATAAAGACTCCCAACTACACCAGGAGGGAAATGAGGACTTTTACCAACACACTGTGACCTCAGAGACCTACCATATGCTGGGTGTGGATAGTATGTACTAGTGACCAGCCACAGTGAACCCGGCTGCCCTGTGGATCACCAAGATTACTGCCCGATGTTTACTCTGTTGGTCAATCAAGTGACTCATTCCTCAGGTTCACCATATGTATCTTTTATCATTTGTGTTTAGTGTTTATTTTCAGGCTTTTGGGTTGCCATGTTCTTTCACTAAACCATTGATTATTATCATTAGCATCACACACACACACACACACACACACTCATCAACTAACACACTTTACTACGCATTTTCTCTGGGCAATACCGCAGCCTTGTTTACCTGTGTCACCTGTCTCATTAACCGCTGCAGCGTAATTACATCATCAAACACGGCAGGTAACCACTACACAGTACTACAGAATTCACAATAGTTCGTAAGATTAAAACAAAAAATCCCCCTGAAACACAAATATCTTAGTAAGGTAAATTTTCTCGTAACTGAAGACATAAACAAACTGGTTGACTTAAGATAATATACAAACAATACGTTAAAAAATCGTCTCAAGTTAGACTGAGACTTGACCTTAAATAATAGTAGTAGTAGTAGACATAGTAGTAGTAGTAGTAGTAGAAGTAGTAGTAGTAGTAGTAGTAGTAGTTACCTCAGTTGTTGTGAAAAAGTTGTAAGCAATAACACATGTTTCTGGTCTCCATAACAGCTGGGTCTCATGCTGGGCGTTACTGTGCAGGATGTGGGCGTCGGGACGTGTGCAGAGGCCGCCCACGACACCCACGAAGCCGCCCGCAACACCCATAGACCTGCTCACACCACTCAGAGGAACACCCACACCACCACCCACAAGACCACCCACACTACCCATCAGTCCGCCCACCAGAGCACGCGGTGTGTTGGTGGTTGTAGGGCATGGGCAGTACTGGGTGATGGGTTTAGTGTGGTAGATGCCAAAGCGTGGGCGGTAGTGGGTCCTAGGATGGGTGTGGAAACTAAGTGTGGGTGTGGGAACCTTCCGCCCCCCGCCTACGCCCACACCTGTACACCCCAAACCTGTCTTAATGGAGGCCGATGTCTGCCCACACCTACAGGCACCAGGTAAGACACACACACACACACACACCAGACACACACACACACACACACAGACACACACACACACACACACACACACACACACCAGACACACACAGTCCCAACCATTGTAAAAATTATCAATAACTTGTAATACATCAGTGTATTCACTCCCAGTAAACACTACTCCTTACACTGTCACTATGTTGAAATGAACTGTAGTTTGAGCTTTTCCCCATCTAGTTATTATATGTCTTATTTGTGTCACTTATGTTACTTGTATATTATTTGTAATTCGTAACCCATTCCCCAAATATGTAACTGTATATTTTCAGCCTTCTGGCTGCCAAGCTCTTTCAATAAACCGTTAATTATTATTATTATTATTATTATTATTATTATTATTATTACACACACACACACAATTATATCCTTGCATTTACTTGTTGTATAGTATCATGTGTACCATCATCCTGGGTGTGTGTACTTGTGTCCAGCATTATCCCAGCGCCAGGTAAGGCCAGGTGTGTCCTCCCCGACAGGTGTGTGTGTCCTCATGGCACCTGGGGGTTTCGCTGTAAGATCCTGATGCGACACTTCGAGGGATCCAGCGAGGTGGTGAAGGACTCTCGAGACGCCGCCGCCTCTAGCGTCCCTCGCGATCATGTAGTGGGCGGGGGTAATCCTGTGGGCGGGTGGGCGTGGGTGGCCTCAATCCCTGCCTGCCCTGAGGTCCACATTAGCTTGGAGATACTCACGACCTCTGAGAATGCTACTTTACTCTACTCTGGGCCTGATGATTTAGCCCCACCTCCAGGGACCTCCAGTGGTGAGGTAGTGGTGTTGGAGGTACGTGGAGGTCGACCATACCTCCTCCTCGACCTAGGTGGAGGTCCTGTCACCCTCGCCCTCACGGCCTCCTATTCACTCGCCGACTCAGCCTGGCACAGAATCGACCTCATATGGAAGGATGAGGTGAGTAACCAAATTCTACCTGTTATGAGTCATCCATCTTCATCCGTATTCATCCGTGTCATAATTCCCCGTACGATCAATTATCCTCGTAAAGAGAGACTTAACAGTATACCAACCTAATGAACTTAAGATAAAACACAAAAACATCTTAAAATTACCTCAAATTCACACCTGAGATTCTACCTTAATTAGACACACAAACTCATCAAAGTCTCGTATCTTTTAAGTAATATTTAAGTGATTTTCTTGTATTTTATCGTAAGTCAACTTGTAAGGCACATTAATACGTCTTTATTTACGAGGAAAATTAATCTTACGATGTTTTGTGACTTGGGGGCCTCGTCTGACCTGGTAAGAGGGACCAGTGGATGAAACCGTCTGTGGTTGGCGGAGATGGAACACCTCTAGCCAATTAGAGACCTGGATGTGAGGTATAACAGCCAATCAGAACCTCGCGTCCACCATCAAGTAACCAATCAAAATCCTCAGGCGGTTTATGTGTATGTGTTCCCTCCATGTATGTGTACCTTCCATGTACGTGTTCCCTCCATGTACGTGTTCCCTCCATGTATACCTGTCTGTTTAAATGCCTAATTACTCTCCCGTTTCACCTATAATAAATTAATATACCTGTTGTCATCAACTGTAATTAAGGTTATTTAATTATTGTGATTTTAAAATGGAAGAGAATTAGTTACTGATTGTTATTTAAAGGTAAAGAAAATAAATTAGGTGATTGATGATACATTGTGTGTTATTTAAAGGTAGTTAGTTGTTAATTAGTTGTTATTTTGATGGATAAAAACATAAGAATTAGTTGTGTTTGTTTTTGTAGTTCGTCAAAAATTTATTTATTTATTTATTTGTTGCGATATTTTGATCCTAAAGTAAATAGTTTAGTTTGCCTTTCAATGGTTAATATATACGTTTTCTTTCTCTATTTTCTCTCCTTCCTTTTCCTTCATCCCTTTCTCCTCTCCCTCCCTTATTCTCTGCTCTCTCTTGTTCTCTCTCCCCTTACATTCTTTTGATCTTTCCTCCCTCTCTCTCTCTCTCTCTTTCCCTTCTCCTTTTCTCCCTTCTTCCCTTCTCCCTCCTTTCTCTACCCCTTTCTTCCTCCCTCCCTTATTTTCTCCCCTATTCTTATTCCGTTCTTCTTTCTTTCTCCTCCTTCCTTCCACTTCCCTCCTCTCCTCACCCCCCCCACCCTAGCTGGTAGAGATGATCGTGGACTTGTGCTCGGGTGGCAGCATCGATGGCCCGCCCACACCACCCACCAGGCCCGCCCACAACCAGTCAGCCCCGCCTATACCACCCCCGCCCATCCCACCCGACGCCCATACGTGTAGAGGGGCGGCCAGATTACCCAGGGCCGCCCGCGTCCTCAACACGCCCCAGCCGCTACAGGTGGGCGGGCTGGCGCATCCTCCCCCCGCCCACACTGTGTACGGGTGGCCAGAACCGCCCACCGCCCGCCCACTACACGGCTGCGTCAGGAACCTACGAGTGAACGGAGAGGTGAGTGACGATGCTTGGTTAGGTTAGGTTACGTTTATACGTTAGGTTAGGTTAGGTTACGTTAGGTTAGGTTAGGTTACGTTAGGTTAGGTTAGGTTCCGTTAGGTTAGGTTAGGTTCCGTTAGGTTAGGTTACGTTAGGTTAGGTTAGGTTAGGTTAGGTTAGGTTAGGTTCCGTACATAACCAACACACTTAACTAACCTCGTAAGTCCCTCAAGATTAACTCATCTTCCCTACAATACCCTCAACACCCAGACACTTCCTCACACTACCATCCCAAATCACCATTCACTTAAGTCTAATGGCCTATTAAACCCTAATTAAAAACTAATAAAACTCCTTAACGCAATATTTATGACCTATAGTAATTTTAAGGTATTATTTTAATGGTTCATTTAGGCACAAAGATTCTCTAAAACTCGTAAGTCATTTTATTCACTTAAGAGATTATGAGAACGTATCTGATTTTCACTTAAGTTACGACAAATTCTCAAAGGGAAATCAGAGAGTGGAGGACTGTGGTCACCAACCCTCAGAATGAATGATTGCCTTAACGGTGTACACGTTAATAGAGGCACTGTACTGTACATGGAGATAACAGGAACCAGACGCGTTATTACTAATATTGCAGACCATTTCGCAATCTCTTCCCTGACAGAAAGACAAAGAGAGGGATACATCGCCTACCATCTCTCTCTCTCTCTCTACAACTCGGTCCTCTGATGTCCAGCCTAACCTAACCTAACCTAACCTAACCTAACCTAACCTAACCTAACCTAACCTAACCTAACCTAACCTAACCTAGATCCATTCACTCTTCACTTACGAAGAAATATTAAATCGTGCGAACTTTTGTGAATCCCAACTCCCTTCTCTCACACAATATAACCACACTCACTCACACACTCACTCACACACTCACTCACACACTGGCTCACACACTCACTCACACACTCTCACACACTCACTCACACACACTCACTCATTTACATGTTGGTGTCTGTGTTTGTTTTGATCAGCCGTGTGTATAGACGAGAGCCGCTGCCAGTGTGGAAAGATATTGTGTTTCGTCTGATTTCTTTTAATTTCGTGTTTGTATTTGTTATTTGTGTTTACTTGTTTTGTGTGTGTTTGTGTGTTGAGAGTTATTGTTTGTCGTGTTTTTGTTGTGTTTGTTGTTTGTCAATATTGATGTATTTCATTTATTCTTTCATATTTATTTATTTATTATATTTATATTATTGTGTTTAGTTATGGTTAGGTTAGGTTAGGTTATGGTGAGGTTAGGTTAGGTTATGGTTAGGTTAGGTTAGGTTATGGTTAGGTTAGGTTAGGTTAGGTTAGGTTAGGTTAGGTTATGGTTAGGTTAGGTTAGGTTAGGTTATGGTGAGGTTATGGTTAGGTTAGGTTAGGTTATGGTTAGGTTAGGTTATGGTTAGGTTAGGTTAGGTTATGGTTAGGTTAGGTTATGGTTAGGTTAGGTTAGGTTAGATTATGTTAGGTTACATCAGTTTCGTGTGTGTTTTTCACCCACAATTTCCCACTACTTCAAAACCCTGACTACTTTGCGCAACCAATATTGCTTTTGTTTTTCTGTGTGTGTTGGGGGTGGGGGGCGGGGGGGGGGTCATATCTCCATAACTACCAATTTAAGGTCATCAAATTCACATGAAACACGATGAAATAATAAAAAAAAAAACTTATTTCCCGTAGTCATTACCGTGGTTGGCAGGTACTAAATATTTACCGTCATCGTCATATACGAATCATTAAATAATTCACGAGTTTCCCCAAGTCAACAAAGCCAAGCTGTATATTACTCTATAGCTTCACAAACACTAGCATCATTTACCTACCCTAACCTACCCTAACCTACCCTATGTATCGCTATATATCACTGTATGTATCACCATGTATCACTGTATGTATCACCATGTATCACTGTATGTATCACCATGTATCACTGTATGTATCTCCATGTATCACTGTATGTATCACCATGTATCACTGTATGTATCACCATGTATCACTGTATGTATCACCATGTATCACTGTATGTATCACCATGTATCACTGTATGTATCTCCACACAGTTAATGGACCTAGGTGATGGCCTCCTCAGTAAGAACAGTTCACCAGGCTCAGCTGTTGATGTTGACTGTACCTCCACCGGCCTCCACTGTGGCCTCCACGCTAGGTGAGTGGGTGTTTCTCTATGTCTGTCTATAGGTTTGTCTTCCTATCTGTCTGTATCTATGTCTGTCTGAGTGTCTCTTTGTTTGTGTCTGTTTATGTTTGTATGTGCGAGTGGGTGTGTGTGTTTGTCCGTCTCTTTGTCTGTATATATGTCTGTGTCTATGTGTGTGTCTACATGTGTGTACATGGAGTGTCTGTCTTTGTGTGTGTGTGTGTGTGTGTCCGTCATTGGTTTTAATGTTGAAGTTGACTTAAATATATACTCTCTCTCTCTCTCTCTCTCTCTCTCTCTCTCTCTCTCTCTCTCCTACAGGTGTGAGGGCTCGCCAGGTGGGCTACGGTGCGTGTGTCAACCAGGGTGGGCGGGGGTGGGCTGTTCCTCACCCACCACGCCCACCACCTTCCACCTGCATAGCTTCGTCAAATTGGCTCTCTCCTTCACCCCTCTTGGCTACACCACCTCCATTAGTCTCAGGTAAGACGGACACATCGCTTATCTCTCTCTCTCTCTCTCTCTCTCTCTCTCTCTCTCTCTCTCTCTCTCTCTCTCTCTTCCCATTCATAATTTCCCTCCATGAACACAAATGACCGTCGATAAACAGTACCTAGGTAGTTAAAGCGTACCTAACACAGACGGAACTAAGTTTTAGTGGCAGTTAGCACGTACTGACTTCGTAATCCCCTCTGGCTATTGGCTGTTTAGCGGAGCAAGGTTTAATGGCCTCGTTAGTGTAATTGTTTGAGTTGCTCTTTGTCACATTGTCGAGGTGTTAATGTGTGAGTGATTTTCTTGTTAAGTCTCTCTCTCTCTCTCTCTCTCTCTCTCTCTCTCTCTCTCTATATATATATATATATATCTGTCAATCAATCAATCTCTTTATCTATCCTTTCATCTGTCTATTCATCCTTCTATCCATCTATCCATCTATCTTAACTGTTTACATATCCATCCATCTATCCATCCATCTGTCTATCTAAATATCAGTCTAATTATCTACCCATCTATCTATCCATCTATCCGTCTATCTATCTATCCATCTATCCATACAGGTTCAGAACGCGACGTAGTGAAGGCCAGCTGGTCGTCCTGTCGTCCCGGGATGGAGGTGACCGCTTCGGCCTGCAGCTGGTGGGTGGACGGGCCTGTCTCTTGCTCCAGCTGTCTCCAGACCCTCCCAGGACCAGCTGTCTCTCCTCTCCTCGCCTCACAGATGGTCGTTGGCACCACCTTTCTGCTGCTAGGTAATGGTGGAGTGGGGAGAGAGGAGAGAGGGGGAGAGGAGAGAGGTAGAGAGGGAGAGAGAAAGAGTGAGAGAGAAGAAAGAAACAGGTATAGAGATAACCAGGAAGAAAAATAAGTTCAAGAAAGAATGAAAGAAAGAAAATAACCACGAAGTCTCTCAAACGCTGTTTTACGGAGATAATTATTTTTTCTTATCTTACTTGAAGCTGATGTGATGACTCTCTCTCTCTCTCTCTCTCTCTCTCTCTCTCTCTCTCTCTCTTTGATCTGTCTAAAAATCTCCATCTATCGATCTTCTTATCCTACATAAAATCTATCTATTCCCCCCCCCACACCTCACACTCCTCAGCCCCCCCTCACCCCCATTCTACCCTCCTCCACTTTTCCACATGCCCCCTCCCACACTCACTCCCCCCACCCCCATTCTCCCTCCCTCCCATAACCCCTCCCCACCCCTCCCACTCCCATCCCCCCACCCCCCATCTACCCCCCCACCCCCCCCCACCACACCCCATCTACCCCTCCCACCCCACCCCTCCCCCTCCCTCACCCCCACACTTCCCCCCCTCCCACACCTCCCTCACCCCCCCCACACACCCCCCCCCCCCCCCCCTCCCACACCCCTCCCACACTCCTCCAACCCCCACACACACCCCCTCCCCACACACCTCAACAACCCCAAAGTGGGTAGAAATAAATGTGTTTTTCCTTTGGAAAACTGATATTCTGGCCTCGAGATTTGTTGTTTTAACCCCGTAAGTGTGTAAGGCTGCGTCTGTTAGTCTGTGTTTGATCTGTTAAGTTCATATTTTTTGTCTGTTATGTTCATATTTTTGTCTAACAAGTTCTATTTTTGTCTTTAAAGTTCATATTTTTTGTCTTAAGTTCATATTTTTGTCTTAAGTTCATATTTTTGTCTGTTAAGTTCATATTTTTGTCTATTATTGTCTGTTGTTCACTTGTTTGGTTAAGTTCATATTTTGTCTGTTAAGTTCATATTTTTGTCTGTTAAGTTCATATTTTTGTCCTGTTAAGTTCATATTTTTGTCTTATAGTTCTATTTTGTCTGTTAAGTTCATATTTTTGTCTGTTAAGTTCATATTTTTGTCTTAAGTTCATATTTTTGTCTGTTAAGTTCATGTTTTTGTCATTAAGTTCATATTTTTGTCTGTTAAGTTCATGTCTGTTAAGTTCATGTTTTTGTCTGTTAAGTTCATATTTTGTCTGTTAGTTCATGGCTGTATGTTCATATTATGCTTTTCATCATTCTCCTCTTGACAGACAGACGTACAAACAGACAAATAAAATATACATAGATACAGACAAAGACAAAACCACCTGATTACAGACAGAACAGACAGACAGACACGCAGAGTTACAGACAGACAGACAGACAGACAGATAGGCGTTGTGAATTAAGACAGGTGTATATACCATAATAATTCACCTCTGCAACAGACAGGGTTCAGCTACCTTCCTGACGGCGGATGACGGTGACGGGGAGCTGTACCAGGCGTCTGTCTCACTCGAAGGGCGGCAACTGTTGTCAGTGGATAGGCTGGAGGGCGTACACGTCGGGGGCACGGCAGAGTACGTGGGTCTTACTGTGGTCAAAGTGCACGGCGATTTCTATGACGGTACGTACAGGTAGTGTGTGTGTGTGTGTGTGTGTGTGTGTGTGTGTGTGTGTGTGTGTGTGTGTGTGTGTGTGAAAAAATAGAAAGAGAGAGAGAGAGAGAGAAAGAGAGATAACTTAACTTCAGATATAATCGCATTAGACAGTTCTTTGGATGAGCGCTAATCTCCCAAGGGATGTTTCGACGGATACTTGCAAACAAAAATCTCTCTCTCTCTCTCTCTCTCTCTCTCTCTCTCTGTCTGTCTGTCTCACTCTTTTTCGTTTTACCCTCCCTGTATGTACTGTATGTATGTATGTATGTATGTATGTATGCATGCGTAGTCGCCTTACAACACACACACACACACACATACACACACACACTGTATATTCATAAGTGAATAGATAAACAGACAGATAGATAAGAAAATATATAAGTAGACAGACAGACCGACAGATACACTTAGACAGAAACACAGACAGATACACACCTACAGACAGACAGACAGACAGACAGACAGACAGACTAATCGTAATATCCTCTTCCAGGTTGTATGGATGACGTCAGAATCTCCGGGCGTGGTGTGCCCCTCCCCCCAGAGGTCAACAAGACGGCGTGGGGGCGTGTGGGAGTGGCCAGGGGGGTGGAGGGAGGCTGCCGCGCGCCCCCTGCCTGTGCTAACGTTACCTGCCGCGCGCCCCTCACCTGTGTTGACACCTGGAGATCTTACCACTGCGGGTGTGTAGATGTTGGTGGGTGTAGTGTAGGTGTTGGTGGGTGTAGTGTAGGTGTTGGTGGGTGTAGTGTAGGTGTTGGTGGGTGTAGTGTAGGTGTTGGTGGGTGTAGTGTAGGTGTTGGTGGGTGTAGTGTAGGTGTTGAGTAGCTAACCTAACCTAACCTGACCTTGTGGTGTTGCAGATGTGGTCAGGGCCAGGCATGGGACGAAGGAACAACTACCTGTGTGGAGGCGGACGAGTGTGTGTGGAGGCCCTGTCTGCACGGCGGGTCCTGCCTTAACACCTCCCCAGGTATTAGACTCACCTGCTGTTGATATACCTGAGTATAACCCGACCACTTGTAGTGAAGATATACCATACTAGTGCTCACGTATACAAAAACCTGAATGTATAGGCAAAATGGCAAAACAAATGGATATCTTGCCTATTTTGGGGGTAATTTCAAAATAGAATTTCTTTTGTCTGAAACTAACCCTTAGTTTATGTTCAGTTAGTGAGGTCAGGGTAGTTAAATTCGTGTTAAAATGAACACTGTTTACTGTGGTCAGCGGGCTTCGTGTGCGCCTGTCCTGTCGGGTTCAGCGGGCAACACTGTCATCTGCCCGACGTGGGGGAGACTTCGCTCAAACTCTCCCTCGGTGCTCTGGTCGCTATCGTCGTCTGGTGTACTCTACTCTTCCGTAAGTAGTGCCACCATCCTGTCAGTATGAGGTGATAATTTGTAGTTCATGTTTATCCTAAAGAGTGAGAAAGAGGGAGAAGAAATAGCTAGATAGGCAGAAGTGAGAGAAAAGAGAGATAGGGAGAGAGAGACAAACCTCACAATATCTCACCCAGTATAAGTTCCTCCTGAGTTAACACAGCCTCGTCCTGCCGCCCTCAGTGCTCATCTGCGCCTTCCTGCTTCACCAACATCACCGACGTTCAGCGCTGCGCAGGGGGATGGCTGATGGCAAGGAGACATCTGTTAGCTGTAAAGAGCAGGTGGTGCCTCCCCCCTGCAGCCACGCCACACCTAACTTACTGGAGCTACAGCTGTTGAAGCCGCCCAGGACCAACGGCCAGCCAGCCTGGACCAGCAACCCAAATATTGCAGGTATTACTGGGAGGTGTTGGTGTTGGTCAGGGTAGTGAATTGTGAATTTTGCCGCAGACAACAGTTAGTTTATTGTGCACCCTATACTCATCCTGTGAGGGGTAGCACAAAAAGGATTACAGAGTGGAGGCTACAAAGGGTGTTTATCAGTCCTCAGTGGTCAGGATATTATGGCATTGAGTGTTACAGAATATTTCCAGTACATTATTTGCTTAGGTCAGTACAGTACATAGAATTGTTATTAGTTGCGAAGTGTGTCTACAGCTTTAGTATATCAGCTTTTGTCATCTAAGATAATGCCGAGAAGATTCTTCACTCACTAAGGTAATATTCGCCTTCAGATGTGGACGTCCTACAGGTAGACGCGGCGTCGGTCACCAGCAGCTTGGAGGAACAGCAGCGGAGGGGCGGCGCCTTCCACACAACACCCCTCACCCACCACCAGGCACCCTGTAGCAGCAACGTAGGTGACGCACAGAGAAGCAGTACCACCACAGGCGACACACAGAAGAGAGGAAGCCAGAATGGGTGTAGTCGAGGAGCACCTGAGAACCCTCCTGCCGGCGATGACCTCAGGAACTACGCCTACGAGGGTGAAGGGTCGTCTCCCGGGTCACTGTCGTCCTGTGAGTGTGGGTGAAGGAGGGAGGAAGGGTGGGGTGTTAGTGAGGGAGGGAGAAATGGGTTTTAGGGGGGAAAGAAGAATATATTTTCTCTCAAGCGTATTCCAGTTTGTGTACAAGTTGTAGTTATTATGAAAATGATTGTTTAACCATAGACACACTGTAAACTTTTTCTTTACACACACACACACAACCTTATCTTTGAACCCCTAATAAGTATGGTCTTTGAAATGACTTCAGACGAATCTGAATGTCACTAAGCGTCTTTATAGTTTAATATTATAAACTGTATTATTAACCTTTCTTGAGGCATAAAGAGAGACTTGTACTGTTGTTCATCCCTTTTATGTGGTTAGGTTAATCTTTGTTTGTGGCACTGTCACAGGTCTGGAGAGTTGCAGCGGAAGTGCCAAATTCCTGGGCGGGTTCCGTGAGGTGGCACACATGCTGGAATCTTGACACGCGGTTGGCTCACATGTAAGTCAATCAGAGGCGTCGTCGACCAAAACAAACACTGCTGATCACGACGTTGCCTCAGTCAGTGTTATCCACATCCCCAGCAGCAGCACGGAGCAGCTGTCTTTACCAGTCAGGAACGAGATCATGACACCTGTGGCGGCCACGGCGGTGTCTACTTCAGTCTCCGACCTCCCCTGTGCCTTCCACGTCGTCAGATAGTGGCATCGTTGACAGTGGAGCCTCGACAAGCGTCCACACAACACCACCATTAAGTGTATATCGTGTTTTCAATCTCATCTATCGATTTTTTGATGTTTATATGTCTTCACGTGTTTTACTCGGCAGCGTCGCAAAACTACCTGTAAATATTATCCAGAATTTAGATTATATGTCTTTTTGTTTTGTTTGTTTATCACTTCAGAGTCGCCGCTCATAACACGTAACAACCGAGGTGTCACCGTTCACAGCTCCCGTAAAAAAAATATATAAAAAAATCTATAAACTTGCTTCCTTATTCTTCGATGTTGCTTTTTTATTTTCATGTAACATTGATCCAAAATATAAACATTTTAGCAGATAAGAATGTTTACTGACTTTGTTACTGTAAAAAAATAAGAATACTTATACGAGTAAAAAAACAACAACTAAAATTTATACAATACACTTCACTTATTTAACGGTATTGGAAACTTAAGGTGTTTTGATTGTATTGGATGAGGCAAGATAATAATTACTGTGGAGTCACCTGAACATTACCCCACCACCACCACCAGCACATTTCACCTGATGATTAAACACCCTAATTCTACTTGGAGGGGTTAGATTAGTGTTTGTATTAGGTTAGGTTAGATTAAGTTAGGTTATCTTAGGGTTAGTGTTGCGTTACTTTAGATTAAGTTAGGCTGTGTTAGGTTAGGTTAGCATTAGGGTATTTAATGTTCTGGTGATTTAAGCTGAATGAAGGTTAAGTTAGGTTTCTTAAATGTGGAAGGACACACACGCACACACACGCGCACACACACACACACGCACACACGCACACACACACACACACACACACACACACACACACACACGCACACGCACACACACACACGCACACACACACACACACACACACACACACACACACACACACATACATTAACACCTTGTATACGGGCTCCCCTCTCTGTACTGAATAAATTCGTCTGGCCTTTACCAAACAAAATATTAAAAGTGGTGTCCCTATACTGAAGGCATTAAACAAATCGCTCTGACAACTTAATAAATAGTCAAAATTATTTATACATATTTGCTTACGTCCATTATTATTTAAAGTAAACATCTTGACATTAATATAACTTCTCAGTTGACTTAAAATGGTTTTGTTGTTAAAGGAATTTGGTGGGAATATTTTTGCTGTATTTTTGTTATAGGGGTTTGGGTTACAGTAGGTTGATACAGGCATGACCAAGAACTGTAATCATGAGTGTCCACAAGGTTACATGGTACACATTAGCTGTAACACTCGACTCTCTGTAGCATTTTGCATTTTTCTATAAATTCATCTGATCAATAAAGATACAATGTGATGCTGTTTAATGATTGGTTTTTATTGACCTTGTGTTAGATAATATTATTGTACTGTAAGTTTGAGATTTTTTGCCAGGTAGTAGGCAGCTACCAAACAGGGAGGTACTACCACCTGGGAAGATATTGGAAGCATAATGTGTTGTCTAATGGTAGACCCTGCTGCTATATGTAACCAAGTCCCAGGTTGCTGATCTGACTTTCTGCCTCATTTACACACATTTGCAGGTCTCAATTGTTTCTCTTACTTTGACAACTCAATACACATAATATTGTTTGTCACTTTGGATCTTTTATTCATTTATGTATTTATTATTATTATTATTATTATTATTATTATTATTATTATTGTTATTATTATTATTATTATTATTATTATTATTATTATTATTATTATTATTATTATTATTATTATTATTATTATTATTATTATTATTGTTATTGTTATTGTTATTATCATTATTATTATTATTATTATTTTATTATAAAAAAATAAGTAAATAAATAAAAAGTGAGGTTTCCTCCTCCCTGTTCGGATACAGGAGCAATCGTAGTGCCACCTGATATATCGTATACTGTACAATAATCTCAAGGACTAATTATATAACATTTCGTATCATCTGGATTAGTACACAGCATGGTGTTTGTAAATACGTATAAGAATGTTATCACGATATCATATGGCCGAGGATGCGAGGTTTATAAACGCGTTTTAGCTTTACTGGAAGAGGTGAAAAGGTGGAAGGATGTTTTCTTGGGGGAATTGGACAAAAAACCACCACCAAATTCAAACCAAATGACGCTTGGGTCCGTTTAAAGTGCGGGGAATGTTGTAACTCTAGTCAGGATTGCCAGGTTGCCTACTGTAGTACTAGGCTCCTCTGTGCCATAAGCTATTGTAGTACTAGGCTCCTCTGTGCCATAAGCTATTGTAGTACTAGGCTCCTCTGTGCCATAAGCTATTGTAGTACTAGGCTCCTCTGTGCCATAAGCTATTGTAGTACTAGTCTTCTCAATCTGTTTGATATATCTGTGATGTTAATACACGCTATATATGACAGAACAAGGATGTTATGACGTCAAGTGATCGTATCAGCAGCATGCACACACTCATACGCAGACAATCAGAGATTAGATCAACAGCTTATTAGCCGGCATCTGCTTTTATCATATGTCGTCTTCTTCAGCAAGACGTCATTCACATTCTTAACACTGAAAAAAAAAAGAATACGGGAACAAAGGTGATCGAAGTTTGACTGAATTTTATGTTTTCACTTAATATTTTGTTTTACCTTTTTGAACGATGGTTTAACTCTTTGAGGTTGATGGCTTAACACTTTTAGAAAACTGGTTTAACTTTTTTAGAATGATTGTTAACCTGAGAGCATGGATGACTATTCCTTGGTCAAGTTGCCTTACTGTACACCAATGTTGTTTACCTACACTCTCGGCACACGGGAAACATTACTCCCATCGCCTTCATGCATTGTTTGTAGTCATGCTGAACTGTTTACTTGCATCTCTTATAAACATACTTATCCAATTGTAAACCTGCGTGACAACTTTAATGAATAAATATTATTATTATTAGTAGTAGTAGTAGTACTAGTAGTAGTAGCAGCAGTAGTAGTAGTAGTAGTAGGAGAACTGAGAGTTTAGTAGGAGAACGAGAGCTTCTGCCCCAACTCCGACAACTGCTGCAGATATTGACTATGAGGCTACTGTCACTGAATGCCGCAAAGATCTGCGGCTCAACTAATTCAACACAGCTAGGATAGCTACTTATGTATTAGGATATTTAATATTAAGGTAATAAAATGGCGGCGAAGATGTGGCTATTGGGGGAGGGTGGAGGCCACTGTATTGATTATTAAAAAAAAGTAGTAGTAGTAGTATTGTTGTTATTGGTGACATGACAAAACAAGAAATGACTAACTTAAAAAATTGTAGTAACTTAGAAAACCTACCCGAGCGGCCTAATTAACCTAACCTAACCAATCTTACCCTAACCTAACAAAGCCTAACTTAACCTAACCTACCACAAGTTAACCTAACCCAGCATAAGCTAACCTAAGACAAACTAACATTATATAAAAATTGAACTTCAAGGAACAAAATGGCAGAATTGTATCCATATTTTCATCAACTGGGGGAAACTTTCTGGTTGAATATATCTCATTTCATTATTTTATGGTTGAATTGTAAGTCCGGAGGAACTGGAAGTTTTTCAAGAACATTTTTTCCCTAATAACGAGAGTCGACAGGTGATGGTGGTGGCAGCTTGGACATATTCTCAGTGACCAAGACGCTGTGAATTTCCGCCAAGGTATAACTTCATCGTCACTACTTCACAAAGTCCGTGTGAACCGTCATAACCCTATCTCCTTTGATAACACCAATTTTATTACCACTTGTGACGCCACCGCCCCCTTCAGTCCTTACCGCACTCTCTGAACTTAATTTTGTTGTATATTATTTATTTACCATATTTTTTTTCTTATTTGAAAGATAAGGAAAATTGGGGTCATGTGAAGATTAGCTCCGTGTTTATTTCACCACATCAATACCCTGACGCTAATAAAACCTAATCTAAGCTAATCTGATAACCTAATCCCCACAGGTAGGCCTAGTGTTACGGTGATAATCAGGGAAATAAACTAGGGGTGTTAATCCTCAGGTGATCCATATATATTGTCCCAGGGAATTAACTACCTTCGCTAAGGAGTAGAATCGTAGTGGTGTAGTTGACAGGAAATGCATCATTATGGGGCGGTCCCCTTACCGATAACACGATGGGTATTTAACGCAAGAGATTCTGGTTAGCATCATAAGTGTCTCAAGAACTGCCTTGTCTACAGCACCTCCACAGCACCCCTACAAAGTTTCTACAAGGTACTAACACGATCTACTACAACTTGTTCAACATTAGACTACAGTCTACGCAGCTTCCTTGCCAACACAGTCAAATTATTGGCTGATTTAGTAAGTAATTTTCTATTCATAAGTTTGAAAATAATACCTTAATCAAGAACAACTAGAAATAAACTAAATATAACATTATACGACTCTGTTAACGGAATAATCCATAAATAATGAGAGGAAAATTAATAGTGTAAAATTAATTCATTCTTGCAGAGAGAAAGAGAGGAGGATTATGAGGGCCGTTTGGATATTGTTTGCACTGACTTGCGCTGGGCAGACACTACGGGTGGGTGGCGCTGCTGTCGTCACGGGTCCGCCAGATATCAACGCACAATGCCCCGTCCCTCAGAGCAAGAACGCCACACTTCTTCCCAATCCAGACGACTGCGCGACATACTACGCCTGCAGCTGGGGGGTCGCCTACTTAATGCACTGTCCTGGTGAGCTCCTGTTTGACATCAATCTACACGTCTGTACCTGGTCTTGGCAGGCTCACTGCTTCGTTCTTACCACCGAGGAGCCTAGTACTACAGTAGTCTACAGCACTGAGGAGCCTAGTACTACAGTAGTCTACAGCACTGAGGAGCCTAGTACTACAGTAGTCTACAGCACTGAGGAGCCTAGTACTACAGTAGTCTACAGCACTGAGGAGCCTGTAGCTACAGTAGTCTACAGCACTGAGGAGCCTAGTACTACAGTAGTCTACAGCACTGAGGAGCCTAGTACTACAGTAGTCTACAGCACTGAGGAGCCTAGTACTACAGTAGTCTACAGCACTGAGGAGCCTAGTACTACAGTAGTCTACAGCACTGAGGAGCCTAGTACTACAGTAGTCTACAGCACTGAGGAGCCTAGTACTACAGTAGTCTACAGCACTGAGGAGCCTAGTACTACAGTAGTCTACAGCACTGAGGAGCCTAGTACTACTGTAGTCTACAGCGCTGAAATAACTACGAGTCCAACACCAAACACTGAAATTCCTCCTTCCCCGTCACCTTTTGTCCCCAGCTGCCCCGTTGTTCACACTTCAGCTGGTGTCCTCTACCTAGCTAACCCAGCCGACTGCTCCACCTTCTACGTCTGTTCTCACGGTCGACCTCATCTCATGTATTGTCCTTCAGGCACCTTCTTCGACCTGAACCTCGAGGCGTGTAACTACGCCTCCGTGATAAACTGTGACGTGGTTCTGGAGTGGCAGCCTAGAGTTATAACTAAGGTCTTTTAAGTTAGCCAGTTGGATGTGTATTAGGTGCAGCAAATCGGCTTGCGAGGGAGTTAACTATCTAATAGGTGGCATTAACACATGTAAGGTTCAAATTTGGGTCAATACTTTGAAGAATAAACAAATCATTCGCAAAATTAATGTCATAAACTTGAACGTATCTTTGAGTGTATTTACTGTGTGTTTTTATGTATATCTTATTAACGTGTTAAAATTAATATTTGATACAATTACTGTGTGTCTATTTCAATAATTTACCTTAAATATGTGTATGCTAATGATACAAATTTAGCATAGCATAGTATGTCATGTGTGTGAGATAGCGTGTTGTTCTGCTACCTCTTAGCTCCTATGTACAGTGTTTTCATAGTCATAATTTTTCGTGTTAGTTTCATTGTCAGCATAGTTTCATTTTATAGTTATTTATTTATTCGTTTATTTATTAAACAGTGTGTGAGTACCTCTGTATTTTTACAGACACTCAACGTAAAATATAATGTACTAGTTATTGTTTTCGGTTAAGAAATTCATTTCCTAACAAATTACGTGTTTTGTACTTTAATGTAAGTGTAAATGATATATAAAATATACTTTACAACCCTAAATGTCAACCATATTGTCTTTGTTAAGTGTCCTTGCATATATTTTCAAATCACTATAAATTATTGTCCTTAATTATAATGTAACCAGTGTGTGACATGACAAAGTTACGAATAAAATGTAATTTATAACTTGAAAAAAAACAGCAGCTCATCTCTCCTGTTCGTGGTATTCTTTCGACATTGGCCACGCTAGATAAACATTGAAAGAATTTCTTGTGAAACAACACAACTAAACCAATAGAACCCTTATCTAAAACCCTGTATTCATGTTTTAAGGTTGGTTGCCTTACTTGTGTATATAATTTAAAGTCTTATATAAATTTTTAATCTTTTTATTGTGAAATGAAGATATTAAATCAATATTCAGTAAATATGTAGACTATAGTGTATATTTATGTTCAATATTATTTTTATCCATATTTCTAAAATGAATATGTGAAACACTGATTTGAAAATTTAGAATTCGTGCAAAGTTAAAAAAAAAAATTCCCTTAAATAATAATATTAAGAATATTGAAGATATTCCTGTTAGTGTAGTTTAGAGTTGTTTTCGCTCTTCAGAACCCAGCCCTGAAGTGACTCGGTGATAACAAGGTACAGCTATTAACAGATAGATAATGGCAGGCAAAGGCAGTCTTGGCTCTGTTGTCACCATGACTTCTAAACACCTTGGTAAAGGTAAGCTTAGTGTGTCATATGGGAATAAAGTAGAAATATTAAGTTTTCTTGAGTCCCCATGAAACTTACTTTAAGGTGTAGGATGTGAGTCAAGGCTTGGATCACCCTATCCGTGACACGAGACTCTATAGTTTAATTGTATGATATTATAAGGTTAAGCTTCAATTGTCAATATAAAAATCATATATATAATAAACTTATCGTGTGAACGTGTACAGCATAATATACTCTAAAAAGAATACCTGGTTTACCTTAGGCTCACCACAGGTAGATGTGACCAAAATATCCAATTAGAATATTTATCATAAATACAGTATAGACAAACTGTTTATCTTGTGGAAAATATATATAAGGATTATTCTTTTTAGTGTTATTATTATTATTATTATTATTATTATTATTATTATTATTATTATTAGTATTATTAGTATTATTAGTATTATTATTATTATTATTATTATTATTATTATTATTATTATTATGATTATTATTATTATTACTGTTATATTTACAGGCTCGGTTTGTCCTCCCCTGGCTAAAGGAGTTCTTCGTTGTTATACTATGAAGTACTGTCCTTATGCTCAGAGAACACACCTTGTATTGGCTGCCAAAAACATTAAGTGAGTTGTAATACCAGTTTTACTTGAAACGCTTTATGTCATGTGAAGATTACTACCCCTCAGCTTATCCTAGGATGAACCACCCCAACACTAACCTAACCCCCAGGTAAAATTTGAGTGTTTAATCATTAGGTAAAATAAGCACGGAGGAAGAGTTAATTTTCACATCTAATTATTTTATTTTATTCAGTTTCAAAATTGAGTCAGCATAGTTACAAAGGTGACTTCTAATACACACTATTAATATTTCAGACATGAAGTTGTTTACGTCAACTTGAAGACAAAACCAGATTGGCTGTTTGAGAAGAACCCGCGAGGCAAGGTCCCGATTCTCGAGTACAACGGTCGGCTGTTGTCCGAGTCGCTGGTGACGTGTGACTACTTAGATGAAGCTTACCCTAATCCCCCACTGTACCCAGCCGACCCCTGGAAGAAAGCGCAGGATCGAGTCTTTGTTGAGCTCTGGTCGCAGGTGTGTGTGTCACTGTCGGAGGAATAGAAAGATGACCAATCCATCTTATTACACCGATAGTTGACCACCTTAACACTAACCTAACCCAATCAACCCTTTCAGGAAGCATTAGGAAGGTGAAATAAACTGGGGCAGCTAATTTTCATATGACTTGGGAGAAATATCTTGAACACCACTCATTCCAAATTCATAAGGACAATGTACAGCTCATCACCGACTTACGACCTACTTGACTTACATCCACCCGCACTTACGCCCTGCCTCAGTCGTACCAAAATTTGGTCTAATTTCGTATTTTCCAAGTCCCAAAGTCAGTACACAGACAAAATTTTCATCTGTAATTCACTTTAAAATGGCTGGCAAGCTTAAAAGTGAGTGTTTTGTGATGCTGAGAAGAAAAAGAGACCCAAATTTTCGATTTTCTATGTATTATTTAAGCATTTCCGACTTACAACCATTTCGACTTACGACCTGGATGTCGGTCCCTAACCCCGTCGTAATTCGGGGAGCAGCTGTAACTGGAAATACTGTATGTGTGACTGTGAAAATGGTAAGATAAGCTGATAAAGATCTGTCACTACTTAGACTTGAGCAGTACAGCTTATTGAATATTAAGCTGAGTCACTTTCTAAAATGTTAATGATCTTTTACAACTTAAGATTTCAATAACTTTTACCTTGTCTTTACTGAAGGCGATTGTAAAATTTTAGCTGGGAAAACACTTTAATTTTTATTCACGTAATTTTTTTCTTGGCATTATGCAGGTTGGTCAGATAGCTAGTGACTTACCTCAGCTCCCTGGCTAGACGCTAATCCACCAAAGGGTATTCACTATAGGTAAATGTACTCGGTTGCATTCATCAATTATTGAGTGCATAGAAGAACGGAATACAATCCTCAGTTCTGGTTGGGAATTACACATGATTATTATCCTTGAACCACCTTTTTGGTCTAAATGTATAATAGATTCATATATGATATTTGAACATATCTTTTACTTTAGGGCTGTATATGTAATGGGAAAATATTACCTGATCAAATGATTTACTGAAGGTAATGGTTATTGGACCTGGACGGAGAGTTGTGTGTCCCCAGAGAATATAATTGTAGTAATTTAATCATTATATAAAATACACCTGTACCAATTTTGCTGTTAGTATTTTTATTTTTGCACAAGGCTCATTCTTAGAACCTCATTCCTTGATTATTCCATGTAAATATTGCAGTAAGAGTGTACCTTACTAGTATAGTCCAACACATCACTCCAGGTGCTGTACAAAGTGTGTGCTTCAAGGTTGTGAGTGTGAGAAGGGGGTACTCAGTGGTTGTGCTGTTAGTTTGTTTTCAGGCTTGCTTGCTTGTCCAGGTGATATCCTAGGCAATTTTAGAGGTAGGAAGCAAAGATTTGGACATACAGTATTAGTGACTTTTTTCTATACAGTACTCATATTTTGCTCATGTGACAGTAAACATACTGATATTTATTGTAATGAATATATCCACAGGTAACTCGGCCTCTGTTCAGATTGTTCTATTCAAGAGGAGAAGGAGATGAAGAGTTTGTGTCAAAAGAGTGCAGTGACTTCAAGGCTGGTCTTGGTGTGTTTGAGAAGGAACTGACCAAAAGAGGCACACGTTTCTTTGGTGGAGATACACCTGGTAAGCTAACCCAACCCTGTAACCTAACATAAATTAACCTACCAGGACCTGGTAAGTGGGTTGTGGTATTATTTGAGGCTTTCCACTTGATTGAATTTCATGGTAATAATGTATTAATTTTCAAGTACTATATCTACATTTATAATCACGGACGTGGTGTCGAGTTTCACAAGCTTGTGATGTGTACTATGATAAATATATTAGAGTAATTTGTCTGTAATATGTGCATGTGTGTATTTTGTTATGTGTAGATGTTGTATAGAAGAAAGTTAATACTGGTGTATGTATGCTCTTTACACATAGATGATGATGATGATGATGATGATGATGATAATGGAGATAAAATGGCAATGGCTTGCCATGGGAAGGGAGAGAAGAGGTAAGGTAGAAGGAAAGTTACGAAACGGGAAGTAAAGTACTAGAGAATAAGAGCAGGTGGGCTATCCACCTAGCAGAGACGATTTGATTGGCTGTGGTGAAGGCCGCACTAAGAGGTCGCTCGAGCTCGAGGGAACAGGGGGGGGAGGAGGCTAAGCTAGCTAGCAAGGGGTTGTTAGTTATTGTGTTAGTTGGAGAGGTCTGCTAGGTCCTTGTGTAACTAGTAGAAAACTCTCATCTTTTATCTTATTGGCGTCAAGAAGTTTTTTTATGTTGTGGTATATAATTGTGTAAGTTGGAGAGGTCTGCTAGGCCCTTGTGTAACTAGTAGAATACTCTCATCTTTTGATTACTGTTTAGTGTACAATAGTTCTGGCTCTTGAGGGTTATGGAGAAGGCTTTTTGGCCACCAGTTGTGTGATCTTCTGGTGTCCTCTGTTTTTAGTCGATTATATATTTCATCTTCCATGACTTCTAGTTTGTGCCATACTGCCTGTGCTTGGCTGTAAGTTCTTATGTTCAGTGGTAAAATGTTATAATTTTCGTGAAGCTCTTTAATTTTGGTTGTGTATGGGGGACGTTGTTTGGAGGCTCTGCGGATGGCTTTGTTTTGTGTTGCTTGGAGTTTTAATTGGTTGGTAAGGCTGATCGTGTTTAATGGTATTGGCAGGTATTCAAGATGGGGGCGGACAAGTGCTTTAAATAGGTGTAGTTGTATTTTCTCTTCCATTTTGCCGAATCTTCTTAATTTGTTAAGCTGTAGTTGGGCTAGTCTATTGCGCCGTGTTATGTGTTTATTTATTCCGGTTCTTGTTATTGTTAGCCCCAGTATTTTTCCTTCGTTTGAGTATTGTATTTCTTCGTTGTTTACTGTGATTGGTGCTGGGTTTATCCTTGAAATGTGTATGATTTTTAGTTTCTGTGTATTAGTTTTTATTTTCCATTTCTTCTCGTAATTATTTATTTGTATTATGGCGCGAGCTGTTTTTAATGCCATCATCTGTTTGGCCTTGCCTGGATGTACACATTGACTATGAACAGTGTACTTATATACAATATTCTGCAGGTATGTTGGATTACATGATTTGGCCGTGGGCAGAGAGACTTCCCCTGGCAGAACTAATCGCTGGAGAAGCAGGTGTTGTCTCCCGAGAGTGTTTCCCTAAAATGGTAAGACTATTTCTTAGTTACTTCACCAGTGTGTTTCTTGACATGTTGATTAAGTAAGAAGTACAGTACTGTATATCTACTTATTAAACAAATATACTTTTACTGTAATTAATAACTCTTTCTTTAGCTCTTGTAGTCAAGGTCTTAAAAAATTCCTTAAATGGTTTAGTATAGGAGTAATAGTAATGATAGTACAGTACGATAATTGTTGGTATATATAGTACCGGGTAGTTTTAGTAGTTATAATAATAGTACATAAGTAGTAATAGGAGTACTGTACTGCAGTAGTAATAGGAGATGTGAATGGTAGTTTCTGAAGCTGTTCTGAAGTTTAATGTGACATATTCAGATTATTAGATATGAATAAATTAGTTAGACTGTTAAATAGATCAATAAGAAACATAACATGATTGACTCTTGTGTTGACAGGTGACGTGGATCAAGGAGATGATGCGGGACTCCTCTGTGAAGGCGACATATCTGCCACCTGAAGTTCATGCAAACTTTTTAACTACTTTTGACCCAGATGACCTGAGGCTCAAGAGTTATTTGTAACTCCAGTAGTGGACATAAATTTGAAGTAGTACCTCTTTTTGTTTTGGAAACCTTGAGACCTGTTGATGTGGTGCTGTTTAAACTTTATATTTTAAAAATGTAACAAAATTTTAAGTATATTGGATATATAGCTGTATGTATGTAGTACAGTACAGTATACACAATCAAAGAAGTACAGTATCTTTATGAATGGATCTGATAAAATTCTCAATGAACACTGCGACTCCTGTTGTCTCGGTAGGGTTGTCAAAATCCTTCGATCATTCTCATATTGTCTGACACAAAATTGTAAAGGTACTTTATTGATTGTGTGTATCTGTATACTGTACTGGGTATACTGTATATTGTTTATTAGATTTTGTATAACTGTTGTAAGTACTATACTGTATGTACTTTATAATCACATTCATAGGTATCCACTTCATAGAGTACAGTACTGTACAGTACAGAATGTGGTGACCAGATTTTCTTGTCTACAGGTGGTGAAGGGCAATCAGAAATATTAAAAGTAAATTTATATATGATGTTGATGCAAGAAGAAAAAAAGTGTTAACGAAACTGGTGGACAAACACACTACAGGGAGGTGACAGCCACCAGTGTGCCCTATACCTTTATGGGTTGAGATACAGTACTGTGATATTTCCTGTATAATTTGACTTACTGTGTGGTTTAGTACTATCAGGTGTACAAGACTATTGTTAATGGTTGTTGTATGGAAAGTTGGACATTATGTTAATCTATATAGAGATTTGGTATTTATAATGAACTTGCTTATACACTAGTTATATATAGTTATATTTTTTGTTGGGGAGTGAGTGTGAATACAATACAGCCTTCACAAGAGAAACAATTTTGATGTATGAATCATGAGAAAATGTAACCGATGCACAGAAAAATGCATCAAATCAATAAACACCACTCATAAAGTCTTATATTTTATACTAGACAAAATATCTTCTTGTAGGGCTTGTCGCAGTTTTCGTATTCCTACCTTATATGTGTGTCAGGCTGGTAAATATTCAGGAATAATTTTACGTGGTATTTTTTTGTATACTAGAATAAAGTACAATAATTATTTTGTATACCATAATTATTTTATACACCTATAGGAGTTAAAACCATATGTACATTTACACAATAAATACTGTACAATATTTTGAAGTACAGTACAATTATTCTTGTCATTATCTTACTTCACAATCACTATACTGTACTGTATATATAGAAAAGGGATGCCAATACAGTTCCCATAAGTAGTAAAAGCAGGGCATTCAATAGCATAATCCCCTGTGTATGGGACCCCTTTGAGCTGACCAGCCTTGTACTGAAGGGGTTAGAGCAGGGGTTCTCAACCAGGGGGGGAATTTCCCCCCTCAGGTTTTCAGGGGGGGGGGCCGAAACTGATACTAATATGGAAAAAATAAAGGATTTTCAGTATTATATGCATATTATTTGGAATGCACTTTTTGAGGCAGACAATCTTGGAAAGGAGGGGGGAATGACATTCTGACATGGTGAAAGGGGTGCATGGGGCAAACAATGTTGAGAACCACTGGGTTAGAGCATGTATCACCTGAAGAATAGAATCCCCCAGCATATTGCACCTGTTGATTAAATACTCTTTAACACTGCCTGGAGGGGGATTAGGCTAGATTAGCATTTGGGTGGATAATCTTTAGGTTAGGGGGTTAATCTTTAGGTTAAGATGGTTAATCTTTAAGTTAGTGTCAAGCCCCGTCCACACTATCGGACAGTGACTGGCATGACTGTGATGTTGTCCACACTGCTGAGTAGGTGGTCAGGCAGTAAAGTCGGGCAGTAGCCAGTAGGTTGTCGGCAGCCCCTGAGTGCGGTATCACCAAGCGCAACACAGTTGGAAAGAAGAAAATAGCGCTGTATAGTATATTAATTGCTGTATTTGTAAAAAAGAAAAGTAAGGACAGAGTGCAGAAAACGATCTGGTGTAAAGGTTGGTTAAGTTGGAGAGAAGTATTGGGAAGTCATATGACTATATTACATGAACTACAAGATGTAAGTGAGCGTGATTTCGCCAACTAAATGAGAATGGATATCAACGCCTTTTACATACTCCTAGTTAAAGTGGAACCATACACAGCAAAGGAAGATACGGCCGGGCAGTCTGCTCAACTATGGGCACGGGCTGTCCACTGGTTTGCCTGTAAAAGTTGCCACAAAGTGCGATGACGGACTCATCACTCGTGCCCGACGGTCACTGGGAATTAACCAACCGTTTCAGGACACGCTGATACCTTATTTAACTTAAGGCTGTGGCGTCTAGTGGGATGGGCATCCACATATCCACATACTGCATGCACATTGTTGGGTGATGTCCTTGGAAGTGCTTATTAATATTCTGTAGTTTAAACCATGGAATTATAAACGACCTATTGCCTCATAATAAGTGTGAGAGCCCAAACACCGATTGCACTGCCCCAGGCGATTTGGTTTCTTCGGTTGTGTAACTTGGACAATTGGAAGCTGTGTTACCTAACACTCTAGGAAAAGTTCACTTAGTGTAATGTAACTATTTTCTTTCTTATTACCTCACTCTCGTTCTCTTCGTAAAACTTTGTTAAATGTGGATACTGTATGTATAATTACGCACATTACAAATTTATTGATAAAGTACAAAAAATACAGAAGTGACATTAATACAGTGAAGTTCAAACGAACTTACTCTGGTTTTAACCAATCCCCTTTTTATTGTCTTGTGGCTTCGATTCCCGGGCCGGTGGAAGTTGTTTGGACTTACTTCCTAGCCCCCATTAGTCCCTGTTCACCTAGCAGTAAAGTAGGTACTGGTGTAAATCGAAAATTGCGAATTCGTATTCAGGGAAAGTTGATGGAGCTTCCAATAACTTGATGACATAAACCACTAACTCTTCAGGATTCTACGCCCTTAACTCGTGAGACATAAAGGCAAGCATGAACTTAGCATGCTTCCCTGTTGGGCGCTGTAAACGCTTCTGCGCTTCACCTTACACAAGGATGTGGGGGAGTGCCCAATAAATAAAAAAAAAAAAAAAAAAAAAATTGTCTTGCGGTTTTCCTAGATTTTAGCCCCAGGGAGTGAGGCAGGTTGCCAGCCCTTGTGAGTGGGTGAGTACCAAATCTGCCAGAAATTATTACCCAATTCAGAGTTTTATTACCAAATTTCCTAAAAGAATAATATCTACCAAATAAAATGTTTCTATACACCCACTGTTAATGAGGAGATCACAAGTAGCCGTAAATAATGCTTCACCTGTAGATTCGCTGACTGGTAACAGTCCCAAGAATACAGTTACCACTTGTCCAATGGTCTTGTAAAAAAATCTTTAACACACACACATTAAGTTTTTCTCACTAGATATGTCAGTTGACTCATCAACCAGCAGACAACAATTCTCAGCATTAATCACTTTCCTCATCAACTCTAGCGGTCTAGCCTTAACTTTTCATTTACACTTTATTATGTCGATTGTGGTCGATAGCCATGACTGAATACTGACAACTTACTGTAACTACCAGCTGTAGATCTGATTTCTTGAGAGAATCACTGATTAAGATATCAGATATGCTTATTACCAAATTTGGCCATCTCCATAACCAGAATACCAAATCACTATTCCTCATTACCAAATTTATGCCAATTTGGGAATGAAAAATAACAGTTGGCAACTCTGAGTGAGTGATCCGCCTCACAATAACGTCAAAGGTCTTCCCACCCTCCTCAAGTTCCTGGAACCTTCATAACACTGTTCTTTTGGTTATATTCTTTTCCTACTTTTCCTCTGCAGCGCCTGTCTCCTATCTTGACTTTTGGTGTTATTATTGTTATTGTGGTGTTATAGTTATCATTTAGTGATATATTATTGTTTTTATTCACTCTCCAGGTAACCGCGAAGTGTGGTGCAGTGTTTGTTATGATGACACTACAGACTACTTTTTTTTTTTTTTTACGTGGCCTCCAGCCTCCCCAATAGCCATACCTTCGCCACCATTTAATTACCTTGTAGGGGTATCGAGATATTAATGTCGTCTAGCACTCAGGATGGAAGGAAACTCTAATGTGGTTTTCTTGTATAATATATAAGTTATATGAAGACAGTCTGGTGCTGGAGATGCCGTGTGGTGGGGAGCTGCTCAGTAGAAGACGTTCGGTGAGTAGCGTGTTGAAGGAGGTAGATGTGCAGGAGCTTCGTTAGAGAAGATGTTGCCTGTTGCTGGCCTCCTGATTGAATGAATGCTGGACAGATAGGAGCTTGCTGGAGGAGGTGTTGCTTGTTCAGGAAAATGGGCAGAATGAGAGTTGCTTGGTGAGGAAGTTCAGAGGACAGCTGGTGGGTCGCCATGCTCGCTGGCGGGAGCGAGGACCACCAGGCAGGCGAGGAGATGCGAGGGAGCCAGGCAGCGGCGGAGGAGGAGGAGGTGTTGCTTGTTCAAGAAGAATGGTCAGAATGAATCTCAATGGAGAGACAGAGCTTATATACCCAGCAGCCGCTATGAGTCATGTTGGGAAAACCCGAGAAGTCGCCGGTGAATAGTTTCGTTGCTAGGCAACGGCATGTTGGAATGTGATAGCAGGTGGTGGGTGCTACGCAGTTTGTAGGGGAGACGTCCACTACAACCTTAATATTAAATATCCTAATAAATAAGAAGCTATCCTAGCTGTGTTAAATTAGTTGAGCCGCAGATCTATGCGGCATTCAGTGACAGTAGCCTCATAGTCAATATCTGCAGCAGTTGTCGGAGTTGGGGCAGAAGCTCTCGTTCCCCTGAGGCAGAGCAAAGCCGACTGAAGGAGAGAGAAAGACAGTTGACATCTCATCCAGGCTGTAACAACTTCTGGGCTGCTGCTTCTGTTCGGAGATCAATTCCGCGAGTCTGGCGTAGAAACATCTTGCACTTGGTCCCATTCCACCAGTGGTTGTGAACACTAGAGGGGTGAAGCTACCTTGATCAACGTTTTGAATTCTCTCCCCATATGCCCTTCTCTTGTCGTTCTCGTTCCTCCTATGTGCAGCATCGAGAGCTTGGTTACGGTGACAGACTACTATTACCATTATACGATTTTTGTGTTGTCGACGCTTTTTAGAATTTTTTCTGATTTATTGTTGTGTTTTTGTTACCCGGAATGATCCTTTGTTAAGGGTACGTAGCCGTTTCTTTTATACCGAGTCACAAATATCCAGGCAAACACATAATCGTAATTACCTTGTGGGGTACGTTTTGTTTGGGTTCGCACTCAGGATGGGATGGAGAAAGGAAACTCACAATGTACTCTCTGTATACATATTGTATTGGATGTACAGTGCAGCTTGGTGCTGGGAAGTGGCAGCGTGGTTACAAGCGTGATGTAGAGAGAGCTGGTTGGTGAGGATGCTCAGAGGAGGACAGGTTGTGGGTCGCCATGCTCGCCGGCGGGAGCGAGGGCCGCCAGGCAGCGGCGGAGGAGGTGGTGTTGCTTGCTGCGGCTGTAGCTAGAAGAAGAGAGATGTCACTACGAGGTCAGGTCTTATATAGCGGAGGTAGGCGTGGCTTGATAGTTGACCTCCGTCATGTAAGGCGGCGCTGGTTGACCTAGACCACGAGGCATACACTGGGGAATTCGCGGGGTCGGCTACTCAGCGGCAAACAGCGTTTGTAGGGGAGGTATCCACTACAGTACTCCCCCCTTCCCTCCAGGGGGTGTAGGAGACTTGTTGTCTGCAGGGTTGCATGGCACATGTGACGCAGAACGGGCAGTGCATGCCACATGTGAGCCATAACGGCGAGGGCGTGGATGAGCCGGCCGCAAGGGGGGGGGCAACTCTGTCTAGATACACTCGATATGTGGGAGAAAAGAGGGGGGGTTGTGGAGGCGATGAATGTTGTGCTTCCCTCGCGACAGGTACAGAGTCCCCAGATGCGCCTGCTGGGGTGTGTGGGCCTGGGTCAGGAGCAGGGGCTGCGTCAGCAGGAGCGGATGAGGGCTTTGTTGTTGTTGTTGAGATTGTCGGACCGTAGTCCGACACGGGCCTTTGCCTATAGGCGGCCCGTTTGGTGGTTCCGGCTGGAGCTCCAGGAGCAACCAGACCAG